CAAGATGTAGGTGCCTTTGTTTCCGCAGTAGTTTCAATTTTTATATTTTTAAGTCAAACCGTTCTTGTCTGTCAGTCATATAATGGAGGTCTATTGGTCACCACCTCAAAGAGCATGCACAGAGAAGTCCAAATCAAACATGATTTAATGACTCAATGACTCTTAGATATAAGTACACATTGATGGCCTAAGACACGAACCGAGCGGTTTGTGTGAGAAAACGAACAGTATTTTACCTCTTTTAACCACAGCCACGTCCAAGTGATCTGAGGCCGCGGTGACTGTGGTTACAAGAGGTAAAAACAATATAAATTCTGTTCGTTTTCTCACACAAACTGCTCGTTTCATGTCTTAGGCCATCAATGTGTACTTAAGAGTCATTAAATCGTGTTTATCCTGTTTAGTTTGGACTTCTCTGTGCATGCTCTTTGATGTGGTGACCATAGACCTGCATTATATGACTGACAGACAAGAACAGTTTGACCTAAAAATATTAAAATTGAAACTTCTGCGGAAACAAAGACACCTACAGAACATCTTGGATGCCCTTGAGGTAAGCTAAAACATACCAAAATTGTATTTAAAAGTGAGCTATCCCTTTAATCTAAGCCCTAGCTGTTTGTGAAACTGGGCCTTGGTGTAGGATTTTTTAAAACAATTTTCACTCAGAAATTGCTTATTTCACAAATAATTACAAAGAAACCGCAAGTAACATTAAATTAAACATGATATTTTGAAGTGGAAAGACCGAAAGAGTATTTTCCTGTAAAACGTACTCCAATAATCTTTAATTTTTTTTTACAGTGTACTTAACTTGACTATTTTGTCTGATCAGGCATCAAGAAGGAGCCTAACAAGGCCTGGACTCCAAGGACAATTATGATTGGAGGAAAGGTGAGAATGATCACTTCAGTGACCAGTCAGATCTGTTCTACTGAAATCTGAATGCTAATTGGTTAAATCATGGCTCTTCAAGGCCGCCCCCGGGTATCACACAGCTAAAATGATCATCAAACTGATCACGGCAATTGGAGAAGTGGTAAATAATGATAGCGTGGTGGGAGATCGTCTGAAAGTCATCTTCCTTGAAAACTACAAGGTCACCCTGGCTGAGAAAGGTATCATGCAAACTTACTAACAGATTTTAATATTGGATCAGCTTCTTGTCTTATTTATTTACTCACAGTTCTCGCTCTGCTTACTTCTGTCGTTATACAGTCATCCCTGCGGCTGACCTGTCCGAGCAGATCTCCACAGCAGGAACAGAAGCTTCTGGAACAGGCAACATGAAGTTCATGCTGAATGGAGCTCTGACCATCGGCACCATGGATGGGGCTAACGTGGAGATGGCTGAAGAGGCGGGAGAGGAGAACCTCTTCATCTTCGGGATGAGAGTGAAGGATGTGGAAGCTTTGGATAAGAAAGGGTGACGACAAGCTTCAATGAACAATTTTTTTTTTTTGAATAGAATTAGTATAGTGTTTTTAGTGCATTCATTTATTAATGTTTCCAAAATGTTTATCCTTTTTATGAAAATGTCATCCACATAGACGAATGTAGATGTAGCCATTAGAAAAATAAGGAAGAAATTAAAATGATAAAGAGTTGTTCATTTTTTGTTCTAAGGGAGAAGCTTGTTCTACCCTCATTTTTTGTTACAAATGAGGGTATTAGATAGTCTTGTTTAACTTATTTGAAGTTTGTTTATTTCCAGATACGATGCCATGGAGTATTATAACCGCATTCCAGAACTGAAACAAGCTATGGATCAGATTTCTAAAGGATTCTTCAGCCCTGCAGAGCCTGACCAGTTTCAAGACATTGTCAAGATGCTGATGCACCATGACAGGTAAGAAAAAGTGAATCTCATAGTTGTGATTTAATAATAATCATAATCATTTTACACTCTTTCGCACACACAGTCATGTTTAATAGTGATCATATAAATTACATTTTGGTTGTGATTGCAGGTTCAAGGTGTTTGCTGACTATGAAGACTACATTAAAAGTCAGGAGAAAGTCAGCGCCTTGTATAAGGTTTGTATTAAAACTAGGGCTGTTAAACGATTAATCGCATCCAAAATAAATGTTTGTGTTTACACACTGTATACACTGTATACACATATACACTGTGTATAATTATTTTATATATATAAATACACACACATGCTTGTATATATTTAAGAAATATTTTCATGTATATACTGTATATAGATTTATATATAAATTATATTATATATAATTATAAATATTTTATATATAAATGATTTTTTTTCTTAAATATACATGCATGCGTGTATAATTATATATAAAGAAAATAATTATACACAGTGCACCTACATATATTATGTAAACACAAACTTTTATTTTGGATGCGATTAATCGCGATTAATCGTTTGACAGCCCTAATATGTATATATAGAGAGAGAGAGAGAAAGAGAGAGAGAGAGAGAAATGCAGCCTTGAAGAACATAAGATACTTTTTCTTTTTCCAAAAACAGCCCCCCAAACTTTTGAACGGTGGTGTATGTGAACAAGATGACCGATTAATACTTTTGGTTTATTTTACCTACATTTTAAATGTGTATATGTGCTTCCATTTTTATTTTGTTTTATTATGAGTATACTAGCATGTCATTTTACATTTATCATAGCTGTTCCAACAGTTTATTTGGAAATATGTGATACGATTATCTCGAGATGTATAGATGGAAATAGTTGTTCTTCAGGGGCTTTACACAACAGAAACACAACAATGCTGGAACTGACTGGAAGCTTGTTCCTCTTCCTGATTCTCAAACAGAATACTAAAGAATGGACCAAGATAGTCATCCACAACATTGCTGGCTGTGGCAAATTCTCCAGTGACCGCACCATTGGCCAGTACGCCCGTGAGATCTGGGGCATGGAGCCTAGTCTGGAGAAGATCGCAGCCCCAGATGTCCCCCGCTAATTGCTTCCACAATATCAAAATCTTCACTCTAAAAAATGCTGGGTTGTTTTAACCCAATTTTGGGTCAAATATGGACAAACCCGAAATGTTGGGTTAAAAATGTAATGTAAAAATGTAACCCAACGGCTGGGTTAGTCCATATTTGACCCAAAGTTGGGTTAAAACAACCCAGCATTTTTTGTAGCTGTTCTCACATTCAATTTATTTAACATTGTGAAGATGTATTCAAAGGTGATTTTACTATTGACTTGTCATAGGAGATGTTACTCCATCTTGTCGTCAGACAGCCAGAATGCCTCGCATAATTTCTCCGCATCCCTGTTCCAACAACGAGCTGTCACCGCATCTAGTTTTGTGGCATGTTTAAATACAGCATAATGTTGGTGTAAGAATGTTAGTTTTCCTGTGAAGTATTATGAAAAGGTGTAATGTATTTGTCTATCCACGTCAGCTGACTAGCACAGCCTCATCCCGGAGAACCAAACGTACACTGTGAGGTCAAAGCATAGCAAAAAACGTTTCTGTATTTTGCCACATTTCACAGCATGATGGTGTCTGTTATGGAAACAATTTGAGAAACCATGTGGTCTTTTTTGTGTTTTGTGGCAAAATGTTACTTAAAACTGTTTTAGTTTCCGACAGGCAGTTATTACATAAGCAGTTTGGGCTTTTATGACTTAGGTTATGACTGTAATTGTACCATATTCATGCTTGAACCTGCCTTAACCATAATATAGTGTTGTGTATGGTGTAAATCTCTGCCTGTCTCTCATTGGCCTGTTGGTGCTCATGATGTGTTCTTCCACCTGCAGAGCTCCTCAATTTAGCACTTTATTCATTATTTGTCAATTTTGTTCTGGAGAAGCATTGTATTGTAGGTCTTTCCACATACACTGTTGTAACTCACACCACACAAAATAAGACCTGCATGAATGATGGGGCCCTGTATGAAACTTTGCTTTGAGTCCAGTGAAACTAATATAGCACTAAAGTGTGATTCTCCATACATGCCAAGCTGCGTTCAAGAGCCCGAACTGTACTTACTCAGATAGATTATGATAGACTTCTATTCTTAGAATAGGAAACAAAGATGCAACAAGGATGTAGTGTGCATTGCTTTTGGATTTGCTGGAAGCTAGCAGACAATACTTCAAATCGACAATTAAACTAGTCATGAATTGCTGGTTTAGTGATAATGGAGTAGGATTTAATCTCTAGTTCCTGGTCACCCCTACATAGACTTGACAACCTAACCTGTAACTTTTGTTAACAGCTTTAACATATTTGTTCTCTCTGAATGTTTGCCCCTATTGTGGGTGACTACACAAAACAGTCCTGCTGATACCCTTGAAGAGAGACAAAATGAGAAATAAAAGATAACGAAATTAATCGCTGTTTCTGCTTTTTTTTGCAAGTATTCTTATGTTGGTCTTACATATTACAATACAGAATGTTTAAAGAGATAGTTCACCCAAAAATGAAAATGTTGCCATAATTTACTCACCCGCGTGTTATTCCAAACCTGTATGAGATTACTTCTGTTGATTCAACTGTTTGATTACCAACATTCTTCAGAATATTCTTTTGTGTTCAACAGAAGAAACAATCGCATGTGAACTATCCTTTTAATATAGGCCTACACTACTGTTAAAGAGTTTGTTGAAAGATGGTTAAAGATGTAGATTTATAAACGATAATGTTGTAAATGTATTACTATTTAAATAACTGATTTCTACGTTAATATTAAGATTTAAATGAATATCTTATCATCAGACCATCAGTCACATGATCCTTCAGAAATCATTCAGCCTGCTAAAGAAACATTCCTTATTATTATCAAAGAATAGAATTATTAGATGTATATCAAAAGAACAGCATTTATTTGAAAAATATATATTTTTCTGTCAGAATGTAAAAGTCTCAACCGTCACTTTCAATTTAATGCATCCTTGATTAATAAAATCATTTGTTTCTAAAAAAAAATTAAATAAATAAAATGAACCAAGACGTTGGGTGGCGCTATTGAGCTCTAAACAGTTCACTTTGTTGAGGAAGGAGTCACAGTTCTTGAACTAAACCCCCTCAGCGATGTATCGGTACATGAACAGACCCCCTTCAAACTTTATCCCACGCCAAAGGTCTGTGTGACTGGACTGGAGAAGAGTGAGGAAGCTGTGAGATGCTTTTGCCGGGTAAAGTGTGACGCACCAGTTGACGGTGCTGGCAGACAGCTGGGAAAGATTACGTCGGCATTGCTTAACCGAGGCACTTTAAAATCCAGATCACAAGACTTTGCGCCTTCAAGTAACGTTACTACGCTAAGAATCCAAGAGGTATGTATCAGAAAGGTTTTTGTTCGGATCCAGCCAACTGAATCATTAAGACTGATTGAATCATTCAAAAGAACAAATTAACGTCGATTTAAAAGTCAAGTGACAGATAACGAAGACAATTGACAGCTGTGTTTAGATGAGGTAAAACTCTTATCAGCTAGCACTACTTGAACTGAGGACTTCACTAACAACTGGGTCACTTTATTGCACGTCTAGCTCTACAATAATTGACAACTTATCTGATGACTTTACAACACGGTCAATAATTCGGCATTGTTTTGCTTAGATTTTAAAAGGAACTGACAACTCAAAACGGTCGGTGATGCTGTATTTTGAGGGATTGTGTAACTTAACTTAACGTAACGTTACGTTTATATCAGTTGGTTTGTAAAGCGTTTGCTGAGAAATAGAAAGGAAGTGGTGACTGAGGTTCAATATCATCATATTTCAGAGGAGTCCCGTCAGTAAAGGTGATCATCACATTGCGGTAGGATTAGAAACGTAGAACCGGTTCTTATGTAGAACCGATTCCATTAAAAATAGTAGACTATAGCCGCATGTTTTCCTTTTCTGTTCCTTGAATAGTTATTTAATCAGTTCTCTAATTTTTTTAAAAATTGCCTAACAGTGTTTTCTGCACTATTTATTTGACTTCATACGTATTCTACTTCATACTAACACCGCTATTCGCTGTACTAACGCTACAGTGAGTGATTCACTAATGAATGAATCAGCCGGTTCTTTTTAAAGGGTTAACTTAGTTCACTCACATATTCTGTCATCATTTAATTTACACACCCTCAAGTTGTTCTAAACCTGTATTAATTTCTTTCTTCTGTTGAACACAAAAGAAAATATTTGGAAGAAAATGGGTAACTTAGTGTGAAGTCATTTGGGCCCACCATCTATTTAGTCACCGACACTCTTCAAAATTATTTTGTGGTCAGCAGAAGAAAGAAATTCATATGGTCTTGGAACAACTTGAGGGTAAGTAAATCATGATACAATTTTTATTTTTGGGTGAACTGTCCCTTTAAGACAATCAGAAACATACAGCCTTGGCCAAAAGTTTTGGCAGCGACCTTCATTTATTGTTTTGCAAAGTTTGCTGCTTCAGTTGTGGTGTTGATTCAGATTGTTTCTAGATTATTCTGCAGAGTGATCAGCTGCATTTTACTAATTGCATAAAAAATTCACTGTTTTTTGTCAGCATATGAGAAAGTGTGGAAAAAGTACTAGTCAGGTAAAATCACTCATTCTGAACTGCATTATAAGAGCAGACAGATTGGTATAAAAAGTGCTTCCAATCCTTGTGTTCTGGTGTTAGCAGTGATTACCTCCAAAGATGTGCAGCCATCATCGGGTTGCATCAAAATAGCCTCACATGCATCTCAAAGAACAATTTACCTGGTCATCAAAAACTTGATCAGGAGAGAATGATCAGGACATCTTAGATTGTCCAGCAAGCGCTAGGACACCTCTTGAGGAGTTGGCTATGGAATCGTGTCACATGCCAATATTGAGTGAGCTCTGCAATGGGGAAGGCGGTATCTACAAATACTGAAGCTGCAAACTTCGCAAAACTCAATATTTTTGTCACAGCCAAAACTTTTGGCCATAGCTGTACAATGCGACCAGTGCCGTTTCCTGAACAAATAACTCATATAATACGGTTCTTTTTAGTGAATCAGAAACGTACAGTGCGACCAGCTGAACGATTTCTGAACACCTTCTATTAGTCAATACCTTTTAGTATACAACATTATCAATCACATTCAGCAGTTGACCTGTTTCTGGTTTATTCCTGATTTGTCATATCTGCTTAGCGTCATAATTTCGCAACAGGCTTCTGAGGATGATCAATTCAATAAGAATGGCTTTTTTTGTGCACTCCCTCTCCTATGACCTTATGTTCTCTCTGCTCTGACAGGGGGATGATGGACAACGGAGGGTTTTGCGACGATAATTATCACAATTTAAGCAGTGATGATGAGCTGGTGGACATTTCAGATGTTACAATGGACTTCAATGAGGATGTCCCGCCTCTGGACCGAGATTACAGCACAGGTAGGAATCCGACATTAACCTTTATTGGATGCGCTGTACATAAAAAAAAAAAAATATATATATATAAGGCTTTTATCAAAGAACTTGATGGTTTTGGAAGATTAATGAGTTTGTTTTTAGATATTAAGCTTTGGTTACAAACATTTGATAAATAATGAATATAATTTTACAGTTTGAATCTCATCATATACATGGCCGTACGCTCGGTTTTAGAAATAGCAAGGTCCAAGGGGGGTTGGGGTTGGAATTGATTCCCTTGGTCTGCATATGTGCATTTTAAGAAATCTTGAGTGCAAAGATTGGATAACATTAGCTTTAAAACCACGTCCGCCTTTTTCATTTTCGTTTGTGTCAGTGAAAAAAAAAAAAAAATGAAACAATCGCCATGAACATTTTATTGAATATGTTTTTTTCTGTTCTAATACAACTTTTCATAATAGATTTTTAATTATTAGCTTAAAGTATCCTTTTAAAGTTTGAGGTCAAACCAGCAGTGGATGTATCAGTATACAAAGGATGCGGACATCTTTTGAAAAATTAAAGGAAAATTCATTGTTAAGTAATGCATTTGATCTATTTGTATTAAATATAGATTGGCTAAATGCCTGATCTGACCACATCCTGTAAACACATTTGTCAAAGTCAACACGTTTTACTATATTCTAGTTTAGGTCTGAGCGTTAAGTTAATCAGTAAATGAAAGGCTATCGGTAAAGTGTAACCAAGTTGATTAAATTCATTCACAATTTGTACATATAGTACATAGTTAATCTTATGCTTAGAATCTACTGAAAATGCATCATTGGATATAAACATTTCTATCAGAACATAGTTCTATTACGTTTTGCTACTTGCATCCCACATCTCACTTTTTGGCTGTTAAAAACTGAAGTGTTGTGCTAGAATTGAGACTCGGCCTCTGTCAAACGTAACGGTAGGCTAATATAAATACCTCAATGGTCAGTATGGCCATGATCGTGTACTTGTTTTGTAAAACATGTAGGTTTAATCTTTTAGTCGCGTCATTGTGGTGGGACCAGATCACTCTGTTCTCTGCCTGCACAGATACAGATGATGCTGTCCGTGATGTCACAAACAGACTCTTTTCAGACCAGGAACTTCCTCTTTTAATGTGTGCATTAAATCTATTCCTTCTTCCCCATTTCACTGTAGCTTCCTGTCTTATACTTTTACTTTTATGTTGAACTGTTTTATATTGTGTGCTTGAAAATATGTGCAACCTGAAAAACAACTTAATTCTATATTTTTTTTTTGTCTTTGAAGCAAAGACTAAGCTTCACGGTAGGGTTGCACCTATTCATAGTATTCATTTTTAAATATAAATGGTCTTAAAAAGACTTGAATTTAACTTGAAGAAACTTGTAGAAACCCTGTTTATTCCGTTGCACCATTTATTCATAAGGCAGAACGTAGAGTAGACTCTCTGTAAGTAATGCGTAGTCGCATAATATGACGTTTACCCTTGATGATTCAATAGCAGCCTTCAAGTACGTGAGCAGAAGCTGCTGAAATGCTGGGAATTTCAGTTTATCCTTCATTTAACTTCTTTTGCCTCACTTAACTAACGTTAAAAATACGTTTCCATTAAATAAGACACTTAAGTTAATATTTTAAATTAGTTTCTACTCTATAGTTATGAACTGTTAAAGGTATTATTTCATTTTAATCTATTTTTATAATTTATTTACATTATTAAATTGAATGATTTTTTTTAAAATTTGAAAGAAATTCAAACAGCCATAAATATTAGGAGGATTCTAATTTTAAAGCTGTAATGTAAAATAAAATAAAATTCAATTTTTGATTTTACAGTGAAATATTACAGTAATCCTATTCCTTATTTTGCTTTTATTTAGTCATTTTTATTTTATTAGTTAGTAGTAGTAGTAATAATATTATTTCATAGACATAACATTAAAATTTTGTCCAGCAAGCAATTTTTGTTGTTGTTGCTGAAACTCTCTTAAAAAGTCACATTTTAAATAATAATCACAACTTTTATCAGAAAAAATTGTTAGATTCCCCCCCCCCCATATGTTTGTGGTACTATTATATTAGTGCAATTTTCTTTGGTATGAATGTTTTGTGTGGTTGTTCAGACTAATTTAGGTTTAGTGTTAAAGCTTTTAGCTTGAAGGCTTCAATGATTTTTTAATCAGAGAAAACAATGGCAAAACACTAATGAGCAGTCTTGTGTGAGCCTAAAGCCAAGTTCACACTACATGATTTTAAGCCCGATTTATGCCCGATTTGCAAATCGTTGAGTCGCCGACAGGTCAGGGTGTTATCGCGTGCAAATCGCGGGAGATTAGCGGACGATGAACGCTTGCCAATCTGTTAGTATGAAAGAGCCAACAACGCAGCGAAAACGCTCGCAGACGCCTCGCAGACGCGTCACAGAGCCCAGAAAAATATCTAGCCTGCTAGATATCCAGAGCAGTCGCGCGACTCAAACTCAGTGATGTCATGAGTACAGCCAATCATAGCAACGCATGGGTTGAGGACACCAGGTAAATCTTAGTTTTTCTCTCTTTTTTTGCATTTTTTCCCTCAGAGCAGATCGTCGAGCAAACAGTGTGCAGCACTAGTTTCTGTCTGACGTCCATATTCACGTGTTGTGTTCTCTTCTTCGCTGGGTATTGGCGCAATATTTATTTATTTATTGCGTGTTTTTTTCGTGACAAAACGTGGTTTGTTGACAAGATAGAATCGTTGGGTGACAGAGTTGTTGTCAACTTGTTATTTATTTGATTATTTTCAGGATTTAGACCGTAACATAGTACTGAAACAGCTCGCAAATGATTTGCTCTTATCATCCGATCGTGGTTGTATCTCTATGCAGTGCGTTGTCAACTCGTGTAGTGAGTTACCTCCTGTTGTGGATCAATCACGTTGTGTTGTGTGGTGTGAACAGTTAACAACTTGAACACTCCAGATTTCACTGAGAGCAAGTCATGTAGTGTGAACCGCACAGTTCAGCCCGACGTTTTAAAATCATGTAGTGTGAACAAGGCATAAGCCAACATTATGCAATGTGTGTTTTAGCTTAGTTTTCTGTGGTGCACTGAGAGATAAAGTACAGAGATCAACGATATTGAAGATACAAGTATTTTAGATAGTTTAGCAGCTCATGAACACAGAATCAAACCAGGTCAGCACAATTCTGTCTGAGGCAGTCATGACTCACTGTGACAGGAAGGAAATGTAGTTACAGCCACCGTATGCATTTTACCACTCGTTGAAGACTGAGGCTTCATATTCATATTCAGTGGGATTGTTAAAGGCATCGGCAGCATTCACATAATTTCATTGCTTGAACGATTTGGATTAAGGAAGTCACCAAAGAATTAAGCTAAAGAGGAAACTAAAAGAAAGTAAATTGAGAGTTTATTTTAGTTTGAGCTGTCGTTGTTCATGACAGCATGTGATATCACAGTTAAATGAGAACACACTGACTCATTTTACAGAGCTGCCGGTTCCTCTTAAACCCCCTCCTCTTTTCCACCAAGACTCAAATTACAGTCAGCACTTCCCCTTTAACTTTATTTTCCTGAGTTCCACTGTTGATCTTTTTCTTCTTTTTGAGGAGAAAAAAAAACCCATCTGAAGTCAGTAGTCATTTAAAAAGAGTTTAGTCTAGAGTTGCTAAGATTGAAAAAAACAACAAAACACTTCTATTTCAATATAATTAAAAATGTAATTTATTATTTTAAAGGCAGAGCTAAATTTTCAGCTCCATTACTCCCATCTTCAGTGTCGCATGATCCTCCAGAAATCATTATAATATGCTGTAATGATGCTCAAGAAACATTTCTTATTATCAATGAATTTTTACTGCTTTACCCATTTGCATTAAGCTTTGTATCTTTAGAAACCCAGTCATATTTTTGAATGGTCTTGGTTTATTCCCTTATTTTCCCCTGAGATGGGAGCAATAAGGAACAGGCGTGCAGCTAACGTTAGCCTTGTTGACGAAAGAGTAATGTTTGCACTGTTCCGGATTAGTGGGAGTGGCTTGCAGAGCTGTGCAATGTGGTGCATTTTGGGAGTTGTTTTCTTACATACAAACGTCTTTTCTCGGTCAAGAGGGCACCAAATTCAAAAATTCCTTTCCATTTCTACTACATATATGATCCACTTTCAATAAAGATTAATGTTGAAATGGGTGAAATGCTACTTTAATATTTTTGTGTAAACCGATATATTTCAGTATTCTTTGATTGAAAAGAAAGATTTGAAATAGATTTTTTTGTAACAATATAAAAATCATCAAAGTAATGACTTTTTGTTGGGTATGTTTTGTTTGTTTGCCAAAATATTATGACAAAAAATGATAGCTTTGTATTTTTGGATTCCCTTGCATTGTATGGAAGAGAACAGTTTAGACATTCCTCGAAATAGTTTCACTGGTGTGTCTCTGGACTGGAGCAACACATCATTCAGGTTTGCATTGAGCTATTCCTTTTATTAATTTTTTATTTTGCTTAGACAAAGATTCTGACTTCACACACTGGTCCTATTATTAAGCATGAAATGCGGCCTTATAGCCAGCAGCATTACTGTCCTATGTGTCAGATGTTGCTGTCAGACGCCTTTTGTTTCAAGTTGAACCTGAATCTTTTTTTCAATTTGTGTCACACATGTGTGATTGAAGGCCTGGTGTATCTCGCTCTACATCTGTTAAACCAGCTAAACTAGTTTGATCTGAAACATTTGTTCAGTTCATTGTCATTGGACTTATTTGCATACTGACGTTAGTTAGATGGTAGCCAAAATGACCTGAGCTCCGTTTAAAAGCATAGTTGATCATGGAGACCATTGGTGCTAATGCTTCTACAATCTGGTTTTAAGAAATGCAGCATTGTCCAGTTATTTGCTGTCTAATCTGTACATAAGTGATTTCACAGTATTTGACTCTAAATGTAGCGTTCCATTAGTTCTTGGAATAAGATAATTTACTAGGTCATTGTTTTTTAAGTAAACACACTAAAAATAAAATAAAAGTGCTTTATGTACTGTGTAAACATATGTAACAGTGACTTGTATCCTGTCCTAACTGGTTTGTGTTTTGACTTGACTTCATCCGCTGTTATTTTGTGGTCAGCATTTGAGGTCAACATCAGTCCTTTTCTGTTTGTTAAATCTGTCTGGGCCATTCAAAGTGCGTTAGGCTTTGCCCTGCCATTGATATCACACACAGTAATGGTGAACTGGTTATCTGCAATTCCTCTCAGGCCACAATGGCAATTGTCCATCGTTAATTGGCATTTTATTTGCATTCTGCTTTCACAATAGAAAAACAGCACAGACATGCAATCCTGCATGCAAAATACAGAGTGTCTGCTGGTTTCCCATGAGTATTTATGTTGTGTTTTATTCCAGTAGCCACAGGCCACTGTAAAGCAAATGGGAGACTATACAACAGTCCTAAGCTGTTGGATCTACTGGATGACACCATTCCTGGCATTGGCACCTATGAGGACTTCAACACCATCGACTGGGTTAGGGAGAAGTCTAAAGACAGAGATCGACATAGAGAGGTGAGTGGGGTTTCCACCTGCTTTTGAAACTCCACCCCCTTTTTCTGCTCTTAACACCTTGTGTTTCTTTCAGATCACCAATAAGAGTAAGCAGTCGACACTAGCCTTGCTCATCCGCATCAGTGATGCCTTTTCTGGCTGGCTTCTAATGCTCCTCATTGGACTCATGTCAGGTCAGCCCACGTCTTGCCCACTTCCTGTTTATTTCAACGCTCTAATTCAGGGGTTTTCAAACTGTGGGTCACGCAGTCACTATTGTCTGCAGCAAAATTTCCGTTTCATAAATGACACACATACAAACAGGTTGCACGATGTACCAACGTTAAATAGTGCTTAGTGCGATTTTAATTAGATAAATATGTCAGCATTGAGTTTCATGAAGCGTACGCGTGTGACTTGTTCTGATAACAATTTTCAGTGTCTCAGAGCGGCTCGGTTCATTAACCCCTTGACTGTGTGGGACGGTTGCCATTAGGTTTTTACTAAGATATTATTCTTTTAAAAATATAAAGTAATATTGACGTACTATAGATCATTTGAAAGCTTACAGTCTCTAGTTTCCATATTTAGTGGCTGTTTTTTTTTTTAAAATAAATTACATAGAAGCAGTAATTTATCTGTTTGCAAACAGATAAATTGCAAAAACATTGCAATGTTCTTGTTGCAAAGAAATGTTTGCAACAAGAACATTTCATATTCATTAGGCTTGTTTAGGCCTTTATTTTGAAATGGCAATAAATATGAAAAATTGGAAGAAACTTCAGTTTATTTTCATGCCAAAAGATAACTCAGTTCAATTTTATGCGAAAAAAAGTTTTAAATATAAAGAAAAATATTATGTATTCTTGATTTGTGATGCTGCTGCGAGCTATAATGCACATATGTGCTCTATTTTCTGTGTTTATTAGAGGTTGAATTCAAATCAAATACTACCAAACCACCCATAATACTTCTGAATAGGATGTCTACTTCATAAATTGTATGAAAATGATGGAAATAGATGGTTCAGATCTCTCAAAACATTGTAAGACCTTCCGTGCTGGTCGGATGCCAGATGTCACCCTGTAGTGCCTCAATTCCATAATTTGGACACATAAATTATGACACATTTATGACTTGGTATGTCATAATTATGACTAATTATTGTTTACCAAAGTGTGATTTTAAAATGCCATAGCCCTAAGGATTATACTTATCAAAAGTTGATTAGAGGTGTCCTATTACTTTTTGTTTCGCTTTCAAACCTATGATTTTATTAACAAAAAGGCAACAAATCAATTGACATGTCCCATACAATTGCGTTGAAGAAAGGACCAGAATGTCATTAGGGACTTGAGGATGGGGTAGTTTGCCTTGGGCCTGTAAGCAAACACTTAGCTAAAAATGCTTAAAACACCCTTTGCAACCCTAAAGCAATACTTAGGTGAAAATGCATTTCTAAGATGTGTGACTTGAATGTGTTTTGTCCCATCTTTTCCCTCACCAGGGGCCTTGGCTGGAGGTATAGACATTGCCGCCCATTGGATGACAGACCTTAAAGAGGGTGTCTGCCTAAACGGTTTCTGGTTTAATCATGAGGACTGTTGCTGGACATCCAATGAAACCACTTTCAAGGAAAGAGACAGGTGTCCTCAGTGGAAAAGCTGGGCAGAGCTCATGGTTGGAGTCAATGAGGTGGGTTCCATATTTAACCCGCATGGACAGACAACCATTTTGGCAACACATATGCTTCCGAAATTTTACCTCAAAATATATTTGGAAGCATTTGTGCGAGTGCAAATAATTGTTGTGGTGCGACCTTTTTTCATTTCTCTACAAAACGTTTGCTAATTACTGCACAGAGTATGTGCCTGCTGCCTGCTGTGAGTTGATATAGTGACGGGTCCATCGTTCTGTCCAACATTACCCAACCAATGATACTTCCTCTTTACATTCTTAACTTTATGACAGATTTTAGATTGGTTAATATTAGCCATCAGTCACCCCTTTCACTGCGCTCTGTTGTTATGTGACGGGGAGCTAACTAGCGCAAAAAATGTAAAGAGCTATAGGGAGAAGATGGAAAGAATGCTGAGCTTTCTTTTGCAAGCCGCATAAAGTTAAAGATAATGTAACTCTTGGAGTTGGTGAACGCGATTATGTGGTGAATGTGGATTCCAGAGGTGGAAAGAAACTAATTACAAATACTTTCGTTACAGTACTTGAGTAGATTTTTTTTTTCTACTTTAAGTATAATTAAAGTGTGGTACCTTTACTCTTAGAAATCATTCTAATATGCTGATTTGCTGCTTACGTTTTTCTTATCAACAACGTTGAAAACAGTTGTGCTGCTTAATATTTTTTTTTTTTAAGGATTAAATTTTTTGATGAACCGAAAATTGAAATGAGCAGCATTTATTTGAAATAGATTTTTATTTTTATTTTATAAATATATTTCCTGTCACTTTAATGCATCCTTGCTGAATAAAAGTATTAGTATCTTTAAAAAAAAAAATCTTCTGAATGGTTATAATCAGAAATGATGTGGTATATCACCCCCTTGTGGCATGAAGACAAAGCTACAATGTAGAAAGTTGAATAAATTACAGTAAAACATCTTCATCTCGGATTAATTTTTTAATTTTTAATTTTATTTTATTCACAAATACTGTTTTGCAGTAATTCCAAATTTTCAGTATCCAGTCTATTGAGAATTGGATGAATTCTTTTAAAGACCTTTAAAGCAACATTGCATGTAAATCTAGAATAAAGATATACATATTATTAGGGAGGGAGTTTCAAGTCTCAATTAGGAGGTCACATTCTCCTAAATACCTCAGTATTCATTTCATGATTATCAGAATGTGAGTAAATAGCATGTACGAATAAGTGTGGCCTCTAACTGTCCTGTAGGGGGTGATGGTGTATAAGCCCCCTTGATTTCAGCTGTGTCCTGTGTGTGTCCTGCAGGGGGCCAGTGCGTATGTGGTGAGCTATTTCATGTATGTGAGCTGGGCTCTTCTCTTCGCCTTCCTGGCAGTGACTCTGGTGAGAGCCTTCGCCCCTTATGCTTGCGGTTCAGGAATACCAGAGGTGAGAAGCTCGCATATGATGAGCCATGTATCTTTTCACAAATTCAAGCTCTTTCCACCTATAATACAATTTTCCTTCAGCCGTACAATCACACTTTCTTCAGAAATGTTCAAGTTACTTTTGCAATGCTAGAGATGCAGAAATTACACACTTCAGCTTCACTTTAAATGAGACTAAAAACACCTTGTTTCAGTTTTATATTTCAAACTGTGAGTAAAGTGAGAGAGTGAACAGAGACAGACTAGTTTTCAGATGTTCAAAATGTTTTCAGATGTTCAACCACAATTGTTTGTGCACTCTAACCTTGGCTGAGAGAACTATGCAGGGCTTTCTGACATAAGTCACACTGTCTGAAAAAAACCCATGTTAGATTATTGCAGTTGTAATACTGATTTAAATTCATGTGGAGGAGTTGTCAGAGGAGATTTAAGGACCGTTTTTAAAACGATCCATTAAGACATGTTCATATGCCAAGAAAAACTGCTTAAGTGAATTATTCTAGCTCCTCAAACTTTGGTCTGGAAAATGGCCAGTTTTGGGGAATAATTTTGAATCCTTTTTAACCTATCTCTAATTCTTGCAGATTAAAACCATCCTGAGTGGCTTCATAATCCGTGGGTACCTAGGAAAGTGGACTTTGATCATAAAGACCATCACGCTGGTGCTGGCCGTCTCTTCCGGCCTCAGTCTGGGGAAAGAGGGTCCACTGGTTCACGTAGCCTGTTGCTGCGCAAACATCTTATGCCATTTCTTCACCAAATACCGTCGAAATGAGGCCAAGAGACGAGAGGTGAGGGGAACTGGGGAGGGAGATGAGGAGAGGAGGAATTGGATGATGAAGTGATAAGGGAGAGGGGAGTGTGGGATAGACTGACAGAAAAGTAACAGAGAAGTATTTTGTGTCTTGGACCAAAACTTGTAATGTTATACATTGATATAAACCTCTTGGCTTGGTCTCTGTTATCTGATGGAAGTTTCCAGTGCCAAATTGGTAATAGAAATCATGAACAGAAGAGGCTTTTTCTAGGCTGTTCTCCTGAATCACGTGATCAGGATTATATAATTCAGTTGTATAATTCATTGTTCAGAGGTTGAATATGCTCTTTATTGAGCTATATGCTCTTAAATTCTGATTCAATTTCGAATAGGTTTTAAAGTTTTGCTTTTTGTCTTTAAATCTTTACCAAATTTTGCTCCCCAGTACCTATCTGAACTGCTTCACCCAAAATTGAAGTCAAGATCACTAAGATCGGGGGAATCTAACTTACTTAATGTCCTCAGGACCAGATTAAAAAACAGGGGTGACCATGCTTTCGCAGCTTATGGACCCAAATTATGGAATAGCCTACCCTCAAATGTCAGATCTGGCCAAACTCTGACATTTTTTAAAACTTCTCTGAAAACGCACCTTTTTTCACTAGCTTTTAATGTACCTTGATGTGCCCGTCTTTTCTCTTTGACGTGTATCTGTTTGTTTCGCGCATGTATTGTCTACCTTTTTATTGCTTTGTTAAGCACTTTGGTCAACGTCAGTTGTTTTTAAACATGCTGTACAAATACATTTGCATTGTATTGTATTGTGCATTTTAGTTATGGAATAGAAATGAAATGGATTGTAAATGAAGTAAATTTTCATTGTGTGTGTATCAGGTGTTGTCTGCTGCATCTGCAGTGGGAGTGTCCGTAGCGTTCGGTGCTCCTATTGGAGGGGTGCTTTTCAGTCTTGAGGAGGTGAGCGCTTTATATTTCTGCAGTCCTGCCATAAACAAAGAGATTCGTTTATTTTTATACTACTGTTTCTGATGCGTTATTATATAGACTCAGCCAAATAAACTCTAAATAAACCTCTGTGATTCAGTTTCCGTATATATATCATTGCGGTATCATTTTATTTGGCCAACAAAACATTTTCAGAAATTAATAATACTATAAAATATGGTTAAAATAAAATATTTGTTTGTGAGAAGAAAAAGTTCTTAAATGACATATCTTAAATGCATTCTTATCATTTGACTCTCTGAATGTATTACATTTTTAATTCATTCTTGAAAAAAAAAGAAAAAAACAAGTCACGCTATTGACAGAAATATCTGATATTAGACCACAGTGATGATGTGTTTTGTGGGTGGAGCCCACCTGGTGGCAGAAAAATGACAGGGTTTATATAAAAGAATAATGGGTAAAATAATCTCAAAATTCAGATTTTTTTTTTCTTCTCACAATTCCATGTTTATATCTTTTTGGAATTCAAACTTGCAAGAAAAAAGTCAGAAATGTGAGATAAAAATGTTATTGGTTTGAATGGTATTTTATGCTTTAACTTTGGCTATAGTCCCCAATGTACTGCATATGTGAATATTATGATTTACACCAAATGAATGCTTTAATAGTAGATCACAGGGTTTCATGAGTCGAGTCTGTTCGTTTAATGGCTTGCAAACATAAATGTCTTCGTTCGGCTTTACAGGGCGTCTTCAACAACAGTATTTTAAAAAATAAAGAAAGCCATATTTACTTGCATTCCGATTCTGACATCCAGAGGCACAAGACATTTTTTCTTATTCCTTGGATTTTGCACGTTTTCCTCCACTTGTTACCACCGTTTTCTGCCACCACTATGCGCACGCAGCTTCAAATGACATAGCTGTGGTGTCTGCTCCCATGTGGTCTATTATTATCTATGTTGAAACATCTGCTGAATGTTGTTCTAACACCTGACAGTGACAAATGTCTCTCACATTGTCTTTTTCAGGTCAGCTACTACTTCCCTCTGAAGACTCTGTGGCGTTCATTCTTCGCTGCTCTGGTTGCTGCATTCACCCTTCGCTCCATCAACCCCTTCGGCAACAGCCGTCTGGTGCTTTTCTACGTGGAGTTCCACACTCCCTGGCATTTTCTAGAACTCATACCTTTCATATTTCTGGGCATCTTTGGTGGCCTTTGGGGGGCTTTCTTCATTCGTGCTAACATCGCCTGGTGCCGTCTCCGGAAGAACACCTGCCTTGGGCACTACCCTGTCCTAGAGGTTCTGTTGGTCACCCTGATCACAGCGTTGCTAGCGTTCCCGAATGAGTACACTCGGATGAGTGGCAGCCAACTGATCTCCGAGCTGTTCAACGACTGTAGTCTGCTGGACTCGTCGAGAATCTGCGACTACAGTGGAAGCAGAACAGAAAGTGCTAATGTTACTGTCACTAATGGTCTGGCGGATCGTCCGGAGGGGCCAAAGCTCTATACGGCTATGTTGCTGCTTGCTCTTGCACTGGTTTTTAAGATGTTCATCACTGTGGCTACATTTGGCATGAAGGTAAGAGACCTAGATGCGTTTTGACTGCATGGGAGAATATATATATATATACACTCATTTTTATATTTAATAAAACATGTTGAATTCAAAAACTGCCAGAATATCAAAGTTGTGAAACATAAATAAACAAAAGTTGTGATTCAAACTTCAGCTTGATATTTAAAAAAAAAAGAGAAAAAAACTTTCCCCATTGAGACTGCAATTTTTAATCCCAGGAAAATTTATTTTATTATATTATATTGAATTATAAAGTCTTTGTCTTTATTCCTGTTTTCTGCTTCAGCGTATTTTAGAGCCAATTGGATAAATTATGCAGCTATAATTAACTGAACTAAAAAATTGTGTGTGTGTGTACTTGGGATCTAATGGAATAAGTTTTGTACGGCACCGAAACATTATCATTAAAGAGGTAAAACATTATCTTAAACAGGTAAAAATGTATATATATACTGTATATATATATATATATATATATATATATATATATGTCTATACAATGTAATAATAGCCAAACACTTAAAAGCACCACAAATTTACCATGGTACAGTTAGAGTTTAATTTTGGAAATTCAGAAGTAGAAAACCATAACATTTAGGGCTCGAGCACCGATGGTGTAAGGACTCTCTTGGAATTGCTCTGTTTTCTGTTTTTCTTGTCACATGACTACGAGTTAGTTTGGCAAGCATTTTTTTAACAAAATAATAGTAATTGTGATGTCAGAAATGTCAACATTTTAATGAGAGTAAAAAAAATGTTCAAATGTCATCCAAATAAATGTGGACACATTATTTATTTTTCCTTGGTTACATTGCCTATAGGAATGAATCACCTGAGGCGAAGCCAAAATCGATTCAACCCTAGTCACAAGCAAACCTTCAAACTTTCTTAAGAATTTGACAAATCACTGCTTGTATAACATGTAAGTTCTGTCATCTTTATGTATTCATTTTGTCTTGCTCTTTGTTGCTCTCTAGGTGCCATCTGGTCTGTTCATCCCCAGTATGGCGGTGGGAGCTATAGCAGGCAGGCTTGTTGGTGTGGGCATGGAGCAGCTGGCCATCTACCACCATGACTGGAGTGTTTTTAGAGGCTGGTGCTCTCCTGGGGCGAACTGCATCACGCCGGGCCTGTACGCCATGGTGGGCGCAGCAGCCTGTCTGGGTGAGGGGTGATTTAGCTCCATCTCTATGAAAAATGTACTGAAGATTCGTTTCCCAGATGATTTGTTTTTTTTACTTTGCAGTTACAACCAAATTGCTTTGTGCAGTCTTCTAAGCAGAAGCATTTAATGTTGGCTTTCAGGAACATGGCTTGACCTTGCTTAGTCATCGACTTTGTCGCACTTTTAATGAGCTATTTCCTTTTATACACCCTATTTATCGGTGCTTGCCAAGGCAATCTTCACTATTATTGTTGTTCATATTTGTGGTTAGTGGTTTATATTTGTATTAAAATAGTAATTTTTTCCCCTTCTAATTTCCCACTCTAGGTGGTGTGACCCGTATGACAGTCTCTCTGGTGGTCATTATGTTTGAGCTGACAGGAGGTTTAGAGTACATTGTGCCTCTCATGGCTGCTGCCATGACCAGCAAATGGGTCGCGGACGCTCTGGGTCGTGAGGGCATCTACGAGGCCCACATCCGTCTCAACGGTTACCCCTTCCTGGAAGCCAAAGAGGAATTCCGCCACAAGACTCTTGCCACGGATGTGATGCGACCACGGCGGAGCGGCCCACCACTGTCTGTGCTGACGCAGAGTGGAATGACTGTAGAGGAGGTGGAGAGACTCATTGTAGACACCACCTACAGTGGCTTTCCTGTGGTGATCTCACACCAGTCTCAGAGATTGGTGGGCTTTGTGTTGAGGAGGGATCTGGTCATATCTTTAGGTGAGTATTTGTTTTTATCAGTGCTCCACGTATTTACGCTGTTTATGTATATATACATGTATATTAGGGGTAGAACGGTACTTGTATTCGCATTGAACCGAAACGGTACTGGCGTCGGGGTTCGGTGCATGAATTTACACGGAGAATACACGGTATAAAAATAAATAACTTGTGTGCAGATTAATTAATGGCCAACCTTGGTTACGCAGCATGTTTGAGCTTCCACATTCATTCTCGCGTATCAAAGTTAGACTCCTGTTTATGTTTGCTGATCAATGTTTAAATGTGAATAAAAGCCTAAATTGAATCTGTTCATCATATAAAGCGATCTCTTCAGAAAATGTGGACTAAACCGCTCAATTCACATGGATTAGTTTTATAATCTCTTTTTAAAGTGTCAAAGTGGTAGTTGCGTAACTGTCAATGGAGGGACAGAAAGCTCTCAGATTTCCTCAAAAAAAGATCTTCATTTATTTTCTGAAGATGAACAAAAGCAGGGGCGGCTCGCCCATAGAGGGCGCTGGGGCGCCGCCCTCCCTCCGACCTGTCTGTCTGTTTTTTTTAATATATATTATAATTTATAATTTTGAAAAATAATCTGTCTTAATTATATGCTAATAATGGTTTTACTTTGAAAAGTGTTTTGAACTCACTAGAATGATATTTGCATTCACTTTCGTTACTTTTATCATGTTGGTGTAGTAGTATAGCCAATAGGCTGTCTTCTCAGGGCGCCAGTTCGCTCAGCCCCACAGTGCTGGAATTTAAGCCAATGGTTCCCCGGTTGCTATGCAAAAAAGTTTATATTTCGCCAATCAGCGCCGTCAAATTTTATGGTTTGGGGGCGCTGAAAATATCGCCCACAGTATCAGATGAGGGGGAGTGCACCGTGCACGCGCACCACGAGACATTTTTTTTTACCTCAGATGAGAGAAGAATGGCAGCGCCAGTGACGTCGAGTGGAAATAATGTAAAGTTAGTCGCGTGGGAATTGACCTGTCTGTCTCTGTCACTCACTCACTCACACACACATAAACACTGTTTCACACACATTTGATATTAAAATAGTTATAGGAATATTAATACCTGTGTGTTTGCTTTGTTTTTGATGTTTTTAAGTTCTGAGCTAGATTACTGTGTTTCATACTAGTTAAAATCAACTTTCTTCTCATACTTGGGTGTTACAATCAAGAACGTTGTCCCACCCTCTTTTTTAGAGCCTTTTCTCTCTCTCTTTCTCTAGTATCAACACATTGTTATCCATTATCCAATTGTCAATTTGTCAAAAATATGTAGTCTACAGCTGGGGATTGATTAAACTAGATTGTTGTATTACCTATTATTTTTTGTATTACCTATATTATAATTTATCAATATTATGCGTTTGCACTTTTTCTGTCAGCACACAGAGCATAATAAACATGCAACTTGTTCATTATCATTAACTGTCAAACTGTCAAACAAATTATTATTATTGTATTATTTGACCATTTGTATTGACTGGTTTAAGTTATTTTATTGGTATAGGTAAGGGCATGGCCTAAGGCCTAAAATACACCAGAATGCAGGAAATCACATCTACTAAATTCAAAATTTTCAGACCCCCCTCTTATTCAGCCCCCCCTACAGTAATTTTCACCAGCCGCCACTGAACAAAAGACTTGCGGGTTTGGAACTGTATTTAGGGTGAGTAATTAATTACAGAATTTGTGGGTTAACTATCCCTTTGTCATTTTAAATTGTAATGATATTTAACAATATTGCTGTTTTTACTGTAATTTTTAATCAAATAAATGCAGCCTTGCTGAGCAGGAAGAGAAAATTCTTTTCAAAAAATGTAACAAAATCGACCCTGATCTTTTGAACGGTAGATTCAACAAGTATATGACATCAGTTTGACTGTTAGGAGTCTTGCAAACCAGCCGACTGACGCAACCAACCACAGTCTGAAAGCAGTTTTTGTATATTTATCTGAAATTTTGGGAGATCAAGTTGTGCCTGAAGATATCTCATTGTCTTGCTACTAAGTGTCCCAAACCAAACTCTTGAATCTCTGTCAAAGAGTTGATGGCACACAGATTTTGTCAGCCTGGCGCCTTGTAAGCGCAACTTTGTTTTATTTTTTGTCTGACTAATTATAAACCTGTGTATCCTTATTCCAAGACGTTTTAGAGCAGCCAGCCAATTAGATTGGAAGCAGTGGTTTCAGCCAGTTCTTGTTTGCAATATGATGGTCCGTGGGCCGCAAGCAGACGTTTTGCTAATTAACTGATGTATTAGTGTTGTGTTTATACTGCTGAGTTTCCTGTTTTTCATATTTTTCCTGCATGACTTTCACTCAATCATCTCAGAAAATGCACGTCGGCATCAGGAAGGTGTGGTCAGCGTGTCTGCCGTCCTGTTCAGTGAATGTGATCTGCCCGCATCACCCAACACTCCTCCTGCTGTCAAACTACACAGCATCTTGGATCTCAGCCCCTTCACGGTCACTGTGCACACACCCATGGAAATCGTGGTAGACATCTTCCGCAAGCTAGGCCTGCGGCAGTGCCTCGTCACTCAGAACGGGTGAGTCTGTGGGAATGGGTGACATGTACAGCTGTGTGATCTGTTTAAAGAAGTCAACGACATATGCGTGTAGCAGATATTTGTTATCTCCCATGAGAAGCAGAATGAGGGTATACATTTTTTTGTGGCATCTCAAGCTATATTCAACTGGACCAAGTTGAAATAAACAGCATTTTAGTGTTAATGTCTCATTTACAACTATATAAATGCTAGTCAGATTGAAATATGTTAATCTCACCCTAAAAGTCATATTTTAGCTCTGCTCCAAAATCTAGTGAGCTTGAGCTACCTAACATTAAAGGCAACATCTGTGGCAGCAATACGCCTTATTCACGGCAGCGCCATCTTTGATTTTTAATGAGAGTGAAAGCGAGGCTGTGAGGGATAGACATATATCTCTTCAATGGGCTGTACTGTTTTTAATGTGTTTTCAGATTGTTCTGTGTATGAAACACTGTAAAAATATCTTTCCAAGAAATTTCATTTGACAAAAAACTCCCGACAATGTAAGCTGTGAAAAAATTGTCAGTTATTTGAGCTTTATTCAGCTTTTTACAGCAGATGCTATTGGAAACACGGTAAGTCTATCCCTCACAGCCTCACTTTCATACCTGTCATGGCGCTGCTCTGAATAAGGTCTATACTGTGCAACATTCTTAGATACATTTAACATTTGGCCAAACTCTGAGCATCATAGTCGGATAAGGCAACCCTAGAATGACAAGACAAGACAAGAGTTAAGAGAAACGTTGATAATGTTAATACTTAAATTGCATTACATACTGAAAAAAGTATATAGGTCTAATAATGTTTTTTTTTTTTATAATTATTTTTAATTTGTTCTCTCAACAACTCAATTTTCAAAACCCCATGGTTTTGGAAAACCTGGATATATGAAAGAATTGTGATTTAAAGACCTGGAAAAGTCATGGAAATGTTTTAAACCGTAATGGAAATTTGCATATTGAATGAATGTACATTTTCATAGTTATATCAAGTGTTTGGATAGTAATATCTGAGAAATTGCTGTGAGTAAAAAAACTAGAAAAAGTAATTTGAATTAAGTGGTAATAAAAATATAAACCCTGAAAACATTGTTATCGAAACATCTAGTATTATGGAATTATTAGTCTATTATTTTTATGTTATTATATTATTTTAATATATTAATATATTATATTTTAGTATATTATTATTAATATATATATATATATTATATATATATATATATATATATTATACTCTTTGTTTCTGTAAATACGTTTTTGAGCAGCTCTAGATTAGCTTAAATAGATAATCTTAGCAACATGCTAATATTATACAAATATGGGAGAGTTGACTCACGAGTGAGGTGTTGAGCATTTCACATCAGTCATTTATTAGGTTCTGCCTCAGTTTGAATGCTGCCTTGCTGTGTTTTGCAGTGTCAAAAGTTAGCTCACTACGTTTGGGAACAGATATGTTGTCTCCCCTTTGCAGTTTAGACTGTTTATTAAAATATACTTTGTTTAATATGCCAACCCAAGCAAGAGGGCTTCCCCTACTGAGTCTTTGTTCCTCCCAAGATTTATTTTGCATTCACTACTACATAAACATCTTGGGGAGTTTTTCCTCACCACTTTCGCTCACTAACTGCTTTGAAACAATATGCATTGTGAATGGCGCAATACAATACAATTAAAATGAACCAAGAAATACACTGCAAATATCCAGTTTAGAATGATCTCAGCACCTCTGAGATTTTTCTTCCGTATGTTTTTTATGTTCTTCTAAAAGGCCATATTGAGTGTCTGTTCTTTTGTTTTCTCCAAGGTCCTTTATTATAAGAGCTCTCCCTGCCATATTTGTTCAAAACAGCTGAAGCTGATTCTAGTTGCAGTTTGTTTTGCATTTTAAAGTGTGTGTGTGTGCGTGTTAATCAGCTCCCGATGTGGAGTAGATCAACGTGGCTGTTGGTCGTTCTCGGTCCCTATGATCCACCCTTCAAGTCTATCTAGAACAATAAAAGGAAATGACATCATATAAAAAGAAAGTAGACTTGAAACGCACATGCACACAATTAGTACACATGGCCTTGAAATTTTATGCAAACATAGTCTCTCTCATGCATATGCTAACTAGGACCATCTGTTCAATAATTTTCTGACTTGACAGATCAGTAATTTGTATGAACTACAAACAAGAATCTTTTTTTCTGACTCCCTTTTGTCGCCCTTTTAGGCGTATGCTGGGAATCATCACTAAAAAAGATGTTCTTAAACACATGGCGCAGATGGCCAACAGAGACCCGGATTCTATCCTCTTCAACTGAAGACTCTCAGGACACACTCCTGCACACACCCACATGCACACTGAATCATCCTGTGAGGATGGTGATGGATGATGATGATGGTGATAATGGTGGTGGTTGGACTGTGTGTGTCACTGAGGTACTGCTATTCTAGAGTGGTATGAGATTGGCCTAAGGCAGCTTTTTGCTGCTCCAGAACTGGACATGTTCAGACAGGAGCTGTCCGTTAGCCTGTCCGGAGGCTACAGAGACATTAATGTGATAAATGCTGTTCTCTCACACCTGTGAACCTCATTTCAGTCCTGATCTGAATGGTTGCCATTAGGACTTTCTGTATGTGGACCAAATGCTTTTCCTGCCAACACGTTTTTTTTTGTTTTTATTTTCAAATTTGGGGTGACTTCTTTTCGAGCTTTTAATTAATTTATGGTGCTTTACTCTACTAAAAAAATCAGCTTAAACTAGCTTAAGATGGTTGTTAGTCTCGGACTGCGGGTTTATATATTTTTTTACATTTACCAGACCAACAGTCGAGTCCTTAACCAGCCAAGACCAGTAGTTTAAGCAATTTTTTAGCAGGGATTTCATTCCCTGGAGTGACGTCTGACCTCGAAAGGAACTTCAGAAGGGTGAGAACATTCCTGAAATGATCTGTGAAACGTGCGTTGAGGTTGTCTTGTCTGAACCTGTGTGCGTCGAATGATCCCTGTGGGAAGTTGTGCCGTCTTTTGTAGAAATGCAGTGAGATTTGGTATATCATGTTGAAAAAGCCACACTTATTCTCTCTCACTTAGACATACTAACAAAATGCCCACAATAGTGCTGTTCAACTTCCTCAATAAGTCACTCTGAAGACTTTGAGACAAGTTTTGAAGATCACGTAACTTCTCTTCAACTTCAACTGGAGAGAAACTAGTTTATTTTTTACGACACAAGGTGTCTAAAGGGATGGTTCACCCCATAATTTACTCAACCTTGTGACATTCTATACCTGTATGACTCTCTTCTGTGGAACATAAGACATTACATCATACAATCAGAGTCAATGGCAACAAAAACTCCTCAACTTCACCAACATGCTTCAAAATATTTTCTTTTGTGACCCACAGAAGAAAGTAAGTGGTACAGATTTGGAACAACACAAGGGTGAGTAAATGATGAGAATTCTCATTTTGAGAGTCAACTATGCAAAACTTCACTTTGGGTTGAAGTGCGGATTCTCCCTCCGTCTTTGTTTCAGTCTCCCTCACTCTCAGCTCATTTTACTCCCGGAAAGCTAGTTTTCCAAAAAAAGTTGTGACTGCCAGTTTCCTAAATGAACCAAGCTGCAATTCCCGCTCGGCACCACCAGGAGGCACTCACAATCTCACAGCGTGTTCCTTCTGGATATTTTGTACCATTTGATTGACTGTTGGCCCGGTTCACTCACTGGGTGTGTTGCGGCATTCTATCATGTCATTATCTTCGGGACTCTACGTTCCCCAAACATCTTTATGCTCATATTGAGCACCAGGACCCTTACACACAGTCTTTGGAAATGTGAATCCACTCCTCCGTCCGTCATCCTCACTTTCTTTCCCATGTTTCCACGCTGTCGTCCTCAGACAACCTCAGCAAAGCATCTCTCGGCACCGCCCTTGTTTGGCTGTGAGGATCTGATCATGACATAACGAGATCCTCCCTGTCAAGAAAGGGCTAAAGTCCTCTTCCTTGGCATACTCGCTCGGCTTTCGTCTCGGTGCAATTGAAAACTTCCACCCTCCTGTTCAATACAGGTTTTGTCCCCCCCCTGCATTGGTATTTGGGTTTTTATGGCCTATTAAAGGTATTCGACTAGTTCCATGCCTGTTCTAAACGCTCTCTTTCCCTGCAAGCCGTAATTCCCGGGAGTTTGATTCGGGGCGTGGAGGTCGGGTAGGGCTATTGTTCCCATTCGCTCCTGCTCGTCTGGGCTCCCGGTCGCCAGGATGTCCCCCAACCGCTTCCCTCAAGCACCGCCACGCAGCCCTGACCGCCTTCCACTCTTAGAAAGACAATTTCCGGTCCAGTCTTTAAACAACGGGCGATTCTGAAATGTTATAATAGAGCGGGAGGGAAAACTGATTACTGAAAGAAAAGGTGTGTGTTTGTGTGGGGGGCCGTAGGGGTGTTGGAAGGAGAGATTATGCCTTTCTTTTTTGCCTCCCTAGGAAAACATGGGAATATGGGAGGAGGGAGAGGAGAAAAGGTTAATTAAACAGTGTTCACTGGTCAGTGCAAGGATCATTTCACAAAGGTCCCCTCTGTGTCACTCGAGGGGTTATTGGAGAGACTTGGCACGAAGGACTTCCACTCATTCCTGCAATCCGGGTGGGTGCTGAGCCTCTTTGTGCTGTAACCCAACACTCCATTGGTGCAAATGGAGCCGGGCCAGGACCGGGACCAAATGAAATGTTCTAATGTAAAACAGGACCTCCTATGTTCTTATCTACAGAACGTGGGCTTTAACGAAGTCAGGAAGGCAAACAAGCAGCAAGTAAACAGCTCTTTAGGTTGCATCTACTTGCCAATGTGTCTGCCTTTTTCTTTGTAAATAGCCAGTTTAGGGCCGAGGACAAATGCTAAACCTGAGTAAACTGCTTTTACAGGCGTCAGTGAGCATGTTTACGATGTAGATCCGAAGAAACCTGTGATTTTTCTCGCCAAAAAGGCAATACGGTTATTACCAAATTGTTTGGAAGGAAAAGAATCGTGCATGATTTATTCCAAAGCACTCATCCGAGATGATGTGTTTGTCTGTTTATTGATGACATGTTAAATTTAATATGTATTTATTTTCCACAACAAAAATTCTATTGCAGTATTTGTACGTAACTTTTATATCGTAACGATTATATCATATTGTTAAATTAACTTTTGTCCATTTGAATAAATCTGAGTGATGCATACCATGCAGACTGCATTCATTCTGGAGGTCAAATGCTTCAGGTATGTAAAGAATCGCTTGTGGCCTCATGTATTTTTTGGGGGGGATCTTACATAATCAAACATTAAAATTCCAGAAATATGAGCATTTTTATTCCCTAAAATCCTAAATTGCTCTGGTGGCTGTAGAAAGAGACCCACACTGGTTCATGTTAAATCTGGTATTTCGATGAAATTGTTGAGGGTCTCTTAAAACACCACAGGATTTTAGGGCGAGTCTTATTTGATTTTACTGAATTCTGACTTTCTCACATCTTTTGAAGGCCAACATTTTAATAACTTATTTTGTAGCTTTATTATCAGGAGTATTTTCTTTTGAAAAAGCACAGATGCTTCTTGAGGTAGCAACAATGTGAAATGATCCGTCTTGAGCAACTTTTTGTGTTCAGATGATTTAGAGGATAATTTTACATGGATCTTTGAACGAAACACACCCTAATCAATCTTCATTTTAGGTTCATTTTCATTCATTGATAGTGTTTGCTGAGACGAATATCTGAATAATAGAAATAATAAGGTATCTAACTTTATATCGCACAATTACAGCTTAATATCTCATAATGTAAGACCAAAATTTCGCAATGTGACTTTATATCTCATGATTCCGACTGTATAGTTGTGAACACTAAAATTACTAAATGAAATGAAAAGGAAAACAAAAATAAAAGTGATTTCAAAATATGAATAAATGATATAATAGTATTAGAAATTATACTAAAATAACACTCCTCCATAGGAACTATCTTCCCTTCAAAATAACTGTTCTGTTGGCTTGGGCAAGCAATCATCTAACTAGTAACCACCCAGAACATCTTCGCAAACACATGCTAACCACACTGAACATCTTAGCAACCATATAACACCACCATGGCATTGTGGGAATGAATTTTGTATGGGCAAAAATGTGTCGATGCAAATACACTGATTACACTCCAGGGCAAAAGAAAGAAAGAAAGAAAAAGGGCAGAGTCCAACATTAAGCTTTTTTCCCTCTTATTGCCCAGGAAATTAGCAAAATTTAAGGAAATGCCCTTCTTAAAAAGCCATTGCTGTCTCAGAAAAACCTCAATGACACACCAGAATGACGTTTTTGGCAGAATATGGGAAGCTGTGTGTGGAGTGATGAGTCGCAATGAAACACGAGTTGCTTGATGATGCTCAAGAGCGGTATCTTTGAAAATATGCTGCGAAATATAACAATAAATGCATCTCTACTACAGTGAAGCATGGAGGAAGAGCTGGCATGTGTGGAGTCTTGGTAAACGGAAGCTCAAGCGTGTTCAAGAACCAATGAGGTTCATCCTCGTGTTACGCAGCACGTTTGAGCTTCAGCAAGAACCAATGAGGTTCATCCTTGTGTTCTGCTGCACATTTGAGCTTCCGCAAGAACCAATGAGGTTCATCCTCCTCATGTCTAGAGATCTAGCTTGTTAATGTCTAAGTAATCACAAACTGGCCTAATTTCTGTGCCTTAAACGGGAGAGGAGACTAACGTCGACCTGACCTGACATGCCAACAGCCCAGCTGCTGCTCCCCTCATGCCAACTGTCCCATTTGTTTATTTGTGTTTATTCTTTCCAGGCTCTGCACGAATGAATGAGATAAGTGAGGCCTGTGTGTGTACTGAGATGTTGATTGATTTGGTCAGTGCCTGGATGCGATTCCTGTGACATTCCGGAGTGTTCTGGTGGATTCTTGGAATTGGGGAGGACAAACTTAGGTTTGTGAAGAGGAATGCCTGGTGGTCTTAATGAATGGCAGAAAAGCTTTAACGATGACACATTTGAGTGACAGATTGCTAGGGAGCGCTGGCAAGGGGAATGTATGATGAAATGAGGGTATATTTGTGCAGGCAGGAACAAGGGCAGTCTGGGTGCTCAGGGCGGGTTGTCTTAACGAGTGTGTGTGTGTGTGTGTTTCGGACAGTGTGTGTGTGGCCACATCTAAAACTGAATAGATTGGTCTGTGGTCAACACTGGGTTAGTCAAATGGTGTGTAAGTGTGTGTGGCCTCTGAGTGTGTTTTGTTTTTGAGATTGTGTGACATTGGGATCCCAAGCAGAAGTGAGAATGACGGTGACTCATAGCTGGTTGTCTGGAAGACTTATGAGAACAGAGAGCTGGGGAGTGATCTTAAACTTGGCTTGAAGTGTAGACTATGCACTTATGTGGGTTTTTTTGCCTGACAAAACATCCATCTAGGAATGTCATCAAAGGTAAAAATGCTTCATAAGCAGAGGACCAGCAGTTATTATATAGATATGGCATTACATTTTAAGAGCTTAAAAAATAGAGAGAGAGGGAGTATGGAAGCTTGTTTCCACCACAGAATGAAAAATAAAAAAGGTAATTGCGACTTTATATATCGCCATTCTGACTTTATATCACGCAATCACAAATTTATTTTTCACAATTCTGACTTCATATCTCGCAATTGCGAGATATATATATAGTGTATATATATATATTTTTTTTCTTCTAGATATATTTTCTTCTAGACAAGACATATTCTTGTTTGGGGTTTGTATGTGCCCCACAACTTCTCAGATCTTTCCTATACCCTGTTCATAAGTAAAATAAATATATATATATATATTTTTTTTTAAATAGTTGTTTTTATATGGTTTTAAATGTTTCTTGAGCAGCAAATCAGCATATTAGAATATTATTGTATATTTTTTTATGTATACTGTTCAAAAGTTTTTGGTCAGTAATACTGTATGTATAAAAACCCCCAATCATATTCTTATATGCTGATTTGCTGCTCAAGAAACATTTCTTACCATTATCATCAATGTTGAAAACACTTGTGCTGCTTAAAAAAGTAGAATGGCATTCATTTCGTAATAAAATCAAAATCTGATTAAAATCTTCCCAGATTTTAATTGTAAAGAGTATAAAACAATAGGAGTCAATGGGAAGTCCCCACCATGATAGAAAAACAAACATTGTGTGCGTGAAATCATCTTTTGTGTGGGAGAACCATGTGTCCTGGGTGTGTGGGTGGTTGTAGTATTTTGTGCAAGTTTGGCAAAAGAAAAAGAAAACAAATGGTGTAGAATTCCTGCTGGAAGTCATCAGTATGGGCAAAAAGCACAAACTAAAGAGATTATCAAACTGTGACTCATGATTCAAAAAGGCACTTTAATTGTTGAAAATGACACCTTGAACTTCTGTTTTTACAACACAGATAAGACATTGTAAAATGATACAATAAAGATGGAGAGTGTGAGAGATATCAGTACATTCTTACCAATATGGAGACGCAACATTGGTAAACAGTGCATAACTGCTTTCTTTAAATGGAAAACAGTCCACAGATCGGTGGTCAGAGAATTTAACAATCCCGAGAAAAAAAAAACCTCTGGCTGGAAAAGGAAACACAATAGTCTTTTTGTTTTTAACTGACAGTTCATGTTGCTCACTGGATTTCACGGTGTTCTGCCCCCCTTAAGTTTTTCACAGCAGTCCCATAAAGTATCCACAGAACTCCGTGAGATTTATAGCATGCAAACTATCATATCCACTGTTTTAGAAACCAGTCAAGCAATTCATTAAAAAAATACACTCGCGTATATACGCACCTAACGTACATTAGTCTTCTGTGTTCACATTGTGGTTCTTCGTGGTTCAGAGGGCAAGTCCTGCAGTAATCCGTCTAGATCCGATGGAATTCAGCCATATTTCTTTTTCTTGGCCACCCCTCACCCCACTACGACCTCCATGTTGTACAGATAGGTACATATTTCGACTTGTTTACGCATGTGCACACTCAAACATGACCCTGGACGGGCCGGAGCAGATTGACTGGGATAATAAGCTCAGTTAGTGCGAATTAGTGGGTTTATCCAGGTTCCATTGGGGAATGTTCACCCAAAAATCAAAATTCTTTCATTTACTTTCCTTTCAATTTGTTCCAAACCTGTATGACTGACTTTCTTTCTTCTGCAGAACACAAAGGACATTTTAAAGAATGCTTTTTTCCAAACATTTCAGTTTGATGTTGTTCATTATCCTACTGACTTTCATTGTTTGGACAAAAAACAAATCTACAATTCATCTTCGTCATATTGGTTTGGGAGGACATGAGAGTAAATGATGACAATTTTTCATTAGGGCTCACTGGGCTGCAAGATGATGTGGTTAATGATGGGTTCTAAGCATCGATGAGGTCATGGATGACTTCAACACTGATCTAAAACGCTTTGTACCTCCCTTAACATGATAGTGTTTAAATTAAAAGTGTTCTCAGATCAGTGCATAACGACAACCTAAAGGCACTTTTACACATACAAAACCTAGTGGTATCTGACGTCACATTCCCTAGACCTAAAAAGGCACCCTGTATGGGGACATTTTGGCATTGCGGCACATTATACCAGTCAAAAGAAATGCACTTCCGGCAATTTGTTCTCCATCTTTGGATTTAAATCAAAGTCCGAGTTTCTTTATCCAGACAAATTGCTGATAAGAGTCAGTAAAGTTTTGTAATGTGTAGTCTAACTAGCATTATGTCCATAGCTAAATGCCACAAAGAGTCTTGGCTCGATCGCTCTCGCTGTATAATGTGATTTAAGGCACTGTCTTGGCAGGGGCCCTTTTCCTCACTGACTTTATCAGTAAAAACTGGGGGAAAGTCCAGAGAGAAGAAAACACACTCGTGGTTTAGAATGAAACCCAAGCGAGTGTTTGTGCTCGCTCTCAGAAACACCATTGTGACAGCACTTGATCATTTACAGTGGAAAGTAATCACCCCCACCCACTCCTCTTTTAAAAAAACAACACTTTTTCCTCCGGAAAAAAATCAAGATTCACAGCGCCGTTTCGTTTTGAGAGCGCCACGGCTTTTACGTTTACCGCGGGGGCCTCATTTTGTGGGATTTTCATGCGACATCACAACGCTCATACATTCAATTCCAAACCTCATGATTCTGAATTAAATACAATATATACACAGGTTGAACCAACCAACCACATAAAGAAAAGGATGTACAAGTATGAAGCGCCACATATCAGAAAAGTGTTTTTCTGGGCACGTAGGGTGTGTTTTTTTTTTATGTGTGCAGCACGAGAAAAAAAAACAAAGCATTAAATGGGCGCGACATTTCAACAAACCGTGTATCGTAGTGTTTATTTTACTTTTCGTGTGGCCGTGACCACGTGAGCAGGAGAGCACGTGTCCCTCCCTGACAGTACTTCCTCCTGCACCCTGGACCAGACAGCAGAGGGAGACCTGTAAAAGTGATTTGCGTCTGAGGCTGAACGAATGTGTTTTTATCTTATCGCTGTGTTTTGCATGTTTGGAAGCCATAAATACTCTGAGGAGTACAAGTGTTTTCAAATGCAGTCTATATAACAAGCTGAATTCCTCTGTGTTTATGTGTGCGTGTGAACTTTTTTTAGGTCCTTTTCTTGTCCGGGCATGCTGCTCCGCTGGTCCGACAGGACGGGGAGAATTCCACACTACTGCAACCTGCCAGGATGCTCCTTTGAGGCTGGTAGAGCTACATACTTCCCCTTCTCATCTTTCTTTCCTCCACATTCCCACTGTCATCATTCTCTTCTCATATCTCTGTTTTTAAAAAATCCGCCGTACACAAAAAACATTCCCCTCCAGCGGACGAGAGCGAGCGGAGTTGACGCATCAAAGCGTTTACACACCGTTGGCACAGATTCACTTTGTGAGTTTTTGTCTCTCCTGTTCGTTCATTGTTTTGCTACCGTTTCAAAGATTCACATCTTTGATGTGATTTGTAGAAATATACATACATTCCTCTGTCTATAAAAGAAATAACCTTGTCCGAAATGTCTCTCATTCATGCATCCTTCACATATTCAAAGTCTCAAAGAAAGGAAATTTGAACGATTAAAATGAGTCTTTTCTCTTTGGGTCGCAGCTCCGAAACGCTCCACCCGGCGGGTAATGTCGTCCCGATCCAGTTCCTCTGACGTGCTCTTATAGATCCAGACGGAAAGCTCCGAAATAGCTAGAAGAGTCCTCGCCGTACACCATCGTAGGAGACGAGACAGACACGAAGACCTCGTCTCCCGCTCGCAACTCAAACAGGCCGCCCTGGTACACTGAGTGAAGGGCGTATTCTGCGTCTGGAGCCCAACATTTGGTCCCCACTCCCTTCAGAAGCTGAATCGGCCTCAGGTAGGAGGTTTTCTTATAGATGCACTGGACCAGCTGGTGGCTCACGCTGTTTTGTTCCCCCTCGCTGGGAGAGGGGTAGCGGAAGTACACTTGGGAGTACAGGTAGTAGCGGCCATCCTGGGGTACGCGAAGGCGCCCGTTGGCCAGCGTCATGTTGTGCAGATGAGCGCCGAAGCTCTGGTTGGCCCAGGAACGTACAGGATGGCGGCAGGACTGGTGCAGGTCTGCTTGAGGGGTGGAGTACTGAGCACCACCTGAAAAAAAGGCAGGAGACGGACTTTCGGTTAGCACAGGGGAGTCAAACTGTCGAACTTTAGCTCCAACCCTGATGCAAGAACCAGCTAATCAAGGTCTAAAGGATCACTAGAAAACAACTTTTGGAGCTTTTAGCACGAAACAGCATTCACAAACTGTTTTATTACTAATATATTTATATATAAGTATATGTATGTATTTTTGAGTGAAACTTTTTAATGTTCATAACAAGCACATAAAGTTTGACTAAAATTTAAATGAAAACTTACAGCTCATTCAAAATTTAAATACTTTAATTTTATCTCTATACAATTATAATAACACTGAATGAAACAAAAGGGTATGGAGGGTGGTGGGGTAATTTTAATGGCCTCCAGAATATTTTGTTGTATGAATATCTGAACATGCAATATATAAAAAAAGAACATAGCTTAAAAAAAAAAAAAAAAAAAAAAAAATATATATATATATATATATATATATATATATATATATATATAGAGCCCGACCGATAAAGGATTTTGAAGGCCGATACCGATACAAATATGTATTCCGATATATCGGCCGATATTTTTTATTTTATTTTATTTATTTTTTTTCAGAAACGCGCAACAAAACATTAACAGATTTCCCTAACATAGTTATTTGTAGTTATTTATTATGAGTTTTAAGTGAAATAATATGTTAAAGCATTTTAAAAAGAAACTTGTTTCTTTTATTGTCACAACAGAACAGAGGAACATCAAAATATATTAAAGTTCTGATAAATAAAATAATAATTAGTCCCTACATTGCCTTATAATCTACCTTATAATTACAATGTCAGATTAGCTAGTCTATGATGAGCCATAATTTAGCAATAACGTCATACTGCAAATTGTAAAACATACATTTTCAATTTAACAGGCCAAGGAGAGATGATTGAAGCGTGTTTCATCCGTTTTTATTTTATTTTTGAAATATTCATTTAATTGGAAAATGTCTGATAATGGCCGATATATCGGTCTGGCTCTAATACATATACAATTTTATATATATATATATATATATATATATATATATATATATATATTCTAGCTTTATGCTTTCTTTTTTTAACACTTGAATGTGGGTAAGTTTCATAAAAACGGAAACATTTGAACAAAAAGCCGTCCAAAAGTAATGCTTTTATCGCTTTTCTTTCTGACAATTGCTGTCAATGGTGAGGAAGCACTGTCTCATGAATGACAGAAAATTCTGTCAATGGCGAGGAAATATAATTTTTTTATAAAGATTATGTTTGGGGTCACATAAATTTAATCTCAATGTTAAAATAGGGGACATAAGCATACACAATTAAATATACTTTAAATCATGTGTTAAAGCAAATAATAAAAAAACAACCCTCCCAAAAATTCAGTAATGAAATAAGAATAAATAAGAATACAAAAATGTTACAAAACAAGGAGCAGGTTCTGATTAAGGCAATGCACATAATCCAGAAGGTAAAAGGGAGGAAAGAAAGATTGGTGGATTGTCTTAAGAGTACAGGGGAGATCAGAACAGGAAAGTATGGCTGCACAGGAGAGGAAGTCACGGACAGAGTGAAAAATCGAAGAACAGAGAGAAAGAACCTGGGGAGGAAGGGAGGTATAGAGGACATGGAGGAGCAGGCGGCGTGTTCCTCAAACACAATGAGCCACATTCCTCAAAGAAGATCAATAACTCTAGCCCTGCTCTTTGATTTACTGCTTCGAAAAGTTCTTAAAGGGCCGTTCTTCTGACAAAAGTGATAAAGAAAAACACATATGAAGTACAGATGTGTAGGAAAGCCCACTACGGCGGTTAATATAGATGTTCTCAAGTGATTTAACAATTTTGGTGTTTTGAAGATAATGGCATGTGCAATTTTCGTAGTGCCTGTACGCAATTCATCATCAAGCAGACTTTCTTTGTACGTGATTCATCATCAAGCAGACAGGTTTGTGAATAATGCATGCTGTGTAAAAAAAAAAAAAAGAAGAAGACCTTGCAGTTTAATGATCAGACTCATGACTCGTGCTCCAAAAACAAAGCTGGTTTGTCTCGGTTTCATTTCCTTCTGAGATGCGTGACTGAATAAATCTTTGAATAAATGTTTTTTTCCTGGCATGCATGCACTAAATAGGACTTTGATCCGAGTAGCATGAACTTCAAAGGAACAGACGAGATTTTGGGATGTTTAGTGATATTGTTATAAATAACTAAACAATTTCAGGCTGTTTTATAATCAATTTCTTCTTAGCAGCTGTTTGCCAGGCTTTTTAAAGGCATTGGGACTCTCTGCCACTGCCTAGCAGGACGGATGGGTCATGTACATGAAGAGCACACACTAACAGACTTTTGAGCTGTTCTGAACACAACAAACATAAAATGTGATACCATGAGAGCTTATAGACTTTTTGATCTAAAGCTTTATGGTTAAATGCTTAAAGGAGTAGTTCACTTTAAAAAAAATTCTTCATTCTTCATTCTCGTCATTCTTTTTTCAGTCGAAAAGGAATTAAGGTTTTTGATGAAAACATTCCAGGATTTTTTCCATATAATGGACTTCAATTGGAACCATACGGTTCAAGGTCCAAAAGACAGTTTCAGTGCAAAATGTTCAAAGGGCTTTAAACGATTCAAGACGATGAAATAAGGGTCTTATCAAGCGAAACGATCAGTCATTTAAAAAAGAAAGTTTAAGTTTTATAAGGTCAAATCCTCGCCTTGCTCTGTTCCGTAATGCGCGTTCGTGACTCTCCTGTTCAAACTCGTTCATCAAAATGAACAAATCTTTTCCCGAATCAATTCGTTCATTTCATTCGTTGAATGACACGAAACAAGATTCGTTCATTTTGATAAACGAGTTCGCAATCGTTTCACTTCATAAGACCCGAACAGTTTGCAGTTTGCACTGAAACTGTCTTTTGGACTTTGAAACATTTGGTTCCCAGTAAAGTGCATTATATGGAGAAAAATCCTGGAATGTTTTCATCAAAAATTTCGAAATTTATTTTCGACTGAAGAAAGAATGACATGGACATCTTGAATGTAAATTATCAGCAAAAGTTTTTTTTAAAGTGTACTACTCCTTTAAGTTAAATTAAATTAGTTTTATAGACTAAATGTAATATTTAAATGTATGATTTAGTTTACATATACAGTAAACTCACCTGGTAGGCTGCCAAGGGTCAGGTGGGCTGATGGCCTCTGTGTCACTGTGGTCATGAACTTTGACCCTGATGTGTTATATGAATGGGGCATGGCTCTTGCTTCTGAGAAAGAGTCAGACAGTAGACAGTCAGCACATTCAAATACATCATAAAATATGAAGCCATCGGTGTTGCGCAAGAGATTTGAACCTGTTCTTTGAACTGGATTGCATTTTGTTATTGTCTATTTTTGTGTCATTATTCCTGGTGCATTATTTATTGTGACCAATTGTTAAGAAATGATGACTGATAATATACTCACCATGTAAAGCCTGTTTGGAGATGATGCTGTCTGTAACCTGTGATAGAAACAAACCACACATTTCATTAGAACAGGCAACTGAGTGAGCTAAAATATGATGACTTCACAATTTCTGCATTGTCAACAGGAATGTGAAACTGGATGATTCAGTTTTATAATCTTGTCTTTCCTTCTTTTGGTTTCTTGTCTCACAGGCAGATAAAATGTACCTCAAGTTATAAAACAGAAACAATTCTACTGTAAAATGTCCTATTTATCTTTCAGCCTTTGAAGACGCCAGTTTCTAAGGATGTGTTGAGCTGGAAAGTCAGCCGGTGTACGAGACGACTAAGAATAGTTTTTGAGGTCAGTTAGTGTTTCAGTAGTCCGTGAAGGCCATATTTCAACCAGTCAAACCCCAGTATCCAGATCATTTGTTCCATTGACTAGGTCTTGAACTGAAAACACCCTGATTACTGGCTCATTTCCACTGCCTCGGGCCAGCCTCAGCTCACCTAATTGAACTAAATTAAACAAATTGAAAACTCTTGATGATTTGTTAAAAATGTAGTCAGTGTTTGAATCACTGTATTAATATCATTCAGCAAAAAAAAAAAAAAAATGTCATCAAGGAAGTGGTGAAAAAAAAATCAGTTCCATATTAGCCATAAAGCTGTTCAGATTTAAAAAAAAAGCCAAACATTAACCCAACTCAACATTTTCTTTCCACTTTCTTGAATCCCTCTTGGATAAAGGTTAAATGCCAGAGTTAAGATAAATCTAAAGTTTGGCATGTAAGTTTTACAATCTATTTTAGTCTATAAAATTTATAGTGTTTTGCCTTTCCGTATTTCGCAGTACATTATGTTGTGTTCTGTTGCTGTGCACTGTCTAAGCTAAAATATGAATGGCTCTTTAAACAAACACTTTAATTTAAGCTTTTCGAAATAACTGTGTTTGATAAAACAAGATGTTTTTTTTTTCTTAAGGAATAATAATTTATTCGCTCTCCTCCCTTCTCTTTCTCTCTCTCCTCCCCAGTCCCTCTCTGTCTGGCATCATCAACTCAAGCGTGAGTGTGTGATGGAGTCTCTGTTGTTCTTGGCGCTCTCTCTCTCTCTTTTCTCCTCTCCATTCATCAAACAGCCGAGCGCCTGCAGGCTTTATAACGTGACATAATCTCACCCAGACCACAGCAGAGATGGTTTCTGACCAAAGCTTTCACTTTTTCACTTTAATTTGTGGTGCAGTAAATGGTCCGGAAATCAATTCCACATCTTGCAGCAGATAAAGGAATGTTTTGGCATGTTTGTGTACATGCTGCATATCAGAGAGAGAGAGAATGAAAAAGAGAACAAGATAGATTCATAGAAATCATTTCAATTGTCTTCTTATCCTTGTCCAAAATTATTATTTTCTTTCCTGCATTTATTTAAATGCATTTTTAGATGGACAGATAGATAGATGGATGGGTGGGTGGTTGCTAGAGGGTTGCTATGATGTTGTTCTGGACTGTTGCTAGGATACTGCAAAATGGTTGCTATGGTGTTTGGGGTGGACGCTGGGATATTGAAGAAAGATGGATGAATGCTAGAAATGTCTGGGTGGTTACTTTGGTGTTGCTATGCAGTTGCTAGCGTCATCTGGGTGGTTGCTATATAGATGGATGTATGGATGGATGGATGGATGGATGGATAGATGGATGGATAGGCTATGCAATTGGTAGGGTGTTCTGGGTTTTTACTAGAGGGTTGCTATGATGTGGTTCTGGACTGTTGCTAGGATACTGCAAAATGGTTACTATGGTGTTTGGGGTAGGTGCTGGGATATTGAAGAAAGATGGATGAATGCTAGAAATGTCTGGGTGGTTACTAGGGTGTTGATTTGCAGTTGCTAGTGTCATCTGGGTGGTTGCTATGCATTTGCTAGGGTGTTGTGGGTGGTTGCTAGGACATGATAGCTAGGTGGATGGATGGATGGTATAGATGGAAGGATAGATGGATAAATGGATAGGCTATTCAATTGGTAGGGTGTTCTGGGTGGTTGCTAGAGGGTTGCTATGATGTTATTCTGGACTGTTGCTAGGATACTGCAAAATGGTTACTATGGTGTTTGGAGTGGATGCTGGGATATTGAAGAAAGATAGATGAATGCTAGAAATGTCTGGGTGGTTACTAGGGTGTTGCTATGCAGTTGCTAGGGTGATCTGGGTGGTTGCTATGCATTTGCTAGGGTGTTGTGGGTGGTTGCTAGGACATGATAGCTAGGTGGATGGATGGTTGGATGGATAATTTAGATGGATGGAAGGATATATAGATGGATAGATAAGAAATATATAGATACAGTATATAGATACACTATATAGATAGATTGCAAGGAAGCTTCCAAGTCAGGTTCTAGACAATATAATATAGGACTGTAAGAATCAATTAAGAATCGAAAACTCCTGGTTTATCCAGGAAGATCTTATGGAATTGTTAGTTGGATCCCATTATGTTCCTTTTGGAATGGTTCCCATTTATGACCGATATTCCAGAAGGAATCCTTCACACAAGCATTTATCAGTAAGGCCTAGTTAGAGTGTGCACGCAATCTGTTTTCTGGAAAACACAACAGAGTTCAGAAGGTGGAGACCCATACAAAGCCCTCAACAATAACAATAAACACACCCAGAGTTAAACCTTTGGCCCCTACACCCGTGTGCCAGAAAAGGCGTGCAGCCGAGGAAGATTTTTCCTCCATTCATAGCAGGAAGCGGGGTGAGTGCATGCACACAGCGTGCGAAGAAAGCCATTAGCGTTCTCTCCGGCTAAGTTTAGTGGAGACGGCAATCCAATACTTTTATCTGGCCACCAGTGCCAGAGATTGCTCTACATTTGAGATACTGAAGCACAGCGAGTTCCCCTCCTCCAGGAGGATTATTAATAAATAACTGTTGCTTTCTTTGAGGCGTAGAACAATAAATCCCAGAGCGTGACTCAGGTAAAAGGCTAAAAACCCACAGAACTGAGACACAAACACATAGTGTACAAACATTCTCTGCTGGATAAAATCAGTGCACGCCTGTTATGGGCCTTTGAATGAATGGGGTGTGTGTATATGCTTACAAGTTGTTTCCTGCCATTCTTGGCTGCCGTCTGAGGTCGGCCCCATTCCTCTGTCCCCCGGCCCCCTTCACCAGAGACCAACCGTTCCACTAGAGCACAACAGTCTCCTGGATCTGACCTTAAGCCCTGTGAGAATTAATCTCTCTTTTTTTTTTTTTCCCTACCCCCTCTGTAGAAGCCTGTATCTATTCACCTGGGGCCGGTTTGCTCCAGCTGTGCGTAAGGTACAGCTTAGCATAAATGAGAACTATGTTACAACCACTTAAAATGTGATCATTGGACTCTTGCACTTAAATCAAATGCAACCCTTTGTTTAAACTAAATATTTATGAAATCTTCCGACCGGGAGTATGTAATGCGATCGGTCTGCCAGTAATATGACAGACTGGATTACATCAGTGAGAGCTTGATTTGTGTGAAATTTAGGTCTTAAGTCTTACAAATAGCTGGCGCAATTTAAAAACAGCAGTCGGGGTTAGTTCTGTTTGTGCCTGTGTCTTCCTCTCCCTTCTCTCTCTCTCTCGTCAGGGATCTCTGCCACGGTGACACTTAATGAGCTGTTGAAGATGTGACAGGCTGTCTTCAGTCTCCCTTTTGGTGTGGAGAATGGGCTCGAAGACTTCCGAGGCTTTAAACCCGATTTAATCTCTCTTTCTTTTTCTCTCTCTCACTCTATTAGATGGAAGGTCGCTGTGGAGCACTCGTTGAAATTCGACTCTAACTAATACCAGCTTTGAGAGCTCAGCACATATTTGGCAGGAGGCAAGCCATCGTGTACTCATGCGGAGCAACATGAGAGCACCGACTGGACCGGCCTTTATTACTTTATTAACTTTTCTCTTTTCCTTTCTTTCCACCCTAGCAGATCTCGTGTTCACTTGTTACCAAACCCACTCCGTGTCCACAAGATAGTAGTTTTACGATACAAACAATACATTCTTCCAGAAAAACCGCATGTAGTAAAACCCACCACATCATCGAAAACAGTCCTTGAGCTATGATCATGCAGAAGATAAAGGTCAGAGGGCAGACAGAGAAGGCCTTTGTGTTTGTTCTGAGGCTGGCGGAATGCCCCGACTCGAGTATGATCACTGCTTTCATCGTAAATCTGTTTGAGACGCCGGTGGTGATGCAGCGCTGCCTCAGCCCCGAAGACGAGATGCTTCCTCATCTAATGAGTCATTAGGAGAATCTGAGAACAGCGGGGAACGGGGACAAAACCTCCCATTTAGCTTTGCAGGAAACTGAGGAGGGATTTAGGGATATTGAGAGGACTCAAGTGGCTGCTGCGGGGTTCCTGTTCAGGTGTAGTTTGAGGATATAATATTCCTTGGAATGCTGATCTCATTTCCGGGCTGGATCGCATCCATTCTGGCCGAGACGTTGTAGTGTCTTTTGATTTGTTGACTCACGTTAGGGTTTCTGCAGTGATTCCATCTGTTTGGTGAATGAACCGAACTCTTGCAGGGTTCCACTCTTGTTAGCCGTGCAGTCGTTCTGTATTATCAAAGCCCAACAAGGGCCATGGAAAGTCAAGGAGCAACAATGGTTTGCATATCCTTCACGTCTGTACGCCACTTGTGTGCTGAGTCCAGATAAAATCGAGAATCTGGAGGATGTATGACTTTTCTATTTGCTTCTTTTTTTTTTTTTTTGGAGTCCTCCATAATAACTACCAGGTGTTCTGGCATTCTCTGGAATCTGAAGGTCTTCAGAAACATGCATTTCCTTCATCTCTCCTCGCTCACTCATTCCCTGCCTTCGCTGCGAACACTCTCTCGATCCTGCTTATCCTCTCATTCTTTTTCTGTGTGCTTTACCTCTGCGCTGACATGAAGCTGGAAAAGAGCCCGAAGCCTTGGCGTGTGCTTGTTCGGCCTGTTTCTTTGTCTTTGTGTAAATGCCTTCTTTCTTCATGTAAATCTGAATCTCACTCTCTTATTCATATTGACGCGTGAACATAGACTTTATTTTTTCTCTATTTATGTACTTTGGGACTCGCATACAATCTGCCCCATATGCTCTGGCAAAACTCTACGTTATTTGTTTACTTTTTCCACTGACCGATCCCTTAGCATGATCAGGGAATTCTTTAGCGCACCATAATTGCGTCTCTCAGAAGTGGCGCATGTGTTTTTAATTAAGAGGCAAATGCCTCTGTCTCTGAGTGCCAATAAATTGTTTGCAGCCTCACACAATTAGTAGTGAAAGATTTGACGGTACGCACGGGCTGTTGCGCATAGCGGCAGGAGTGAGGGGGTGTAGGACAGGGTAGACATGCTCCATAAAATCTGATAACATATTCCCGGAGCTGAGAGCTGAGAGGTAAACAAATGGGTGGCACAGAAAATTCATATATAAAAAATACATGGCATTTAGAAGTTCTGACACCATAATGCAAAATGCCTATAGTGAAGTGAAAATTAACCCTATTTTCTTCCTAAACAAATGTTTCCTGGTTTAGTCGTTAATGATTCATTGGTGTGGGTTGTTCCAAAGAAAACAAATCTTTCTCTTCTGCAACGACTTTTACTTTTCTGTTGATCTCCCTTATTCTATGTGGGCTATTGAATAATGTTCAGTTCACCAATAGCCAAATAGCTATATATTCAGTCTCTGGTGGATAAAATCAAGTAGGGATGCACAATTTATTTAAAATAAAAATGTAAAATTACTACATTTATTGTATTGGTGGATAATAATGAATATATAATTGTGCATGTTTCAAATTTAATTTATTTAGACAAAATTGTATGACATTTTAATATTGTCCATTTATTGATTATCTACCTTAACATATAATTCTAACGTTCAAAGGTTTAGGGTCAGTTTGATTTTTTTTTTTTTATTAAATAAACTAATATGTAATCAATTAAATTAATAAATTTACCAAAAGAAGTAATTTTGCATTTTTCAAATAAATGCTGATCTTTTGAACTCTGTATTAAAAGATTTTGATTGATTGAAATCAATTTGAGCTTGAAAACACAATTGGTCTCCACAAAAATATTAAATAGCACAACCATCTTCAATTTTGATCATAATGAGAAATATTTCTTGAGCATCAAATCATGATATTAGAATAATTTCTGAAGGATCATGTGACACTGAAGACATGGGTAATGATATTGAAAATTTCAGCTTTACCATCACAGGAATAAATTACATTACAATTTATTTTAAATAAATTGTTTTATTGTATTTCTGATCAAATAAATGCAGCCTTGGTGAACATAAAATACATTTTTCAAAAACATAAAAAAAAATCTTACTGACCTCAAACTTTTGAATGGTAGTGTGTTTAATGTAAATAAGTGTTTGACTTTACTTGATGATTTGCAATTCCAATCACACCTTTAGAATGAGACTTTCGAAAACCAAGCCCTAGGCTATCAAACATGTCAGTTTTATTAATGTAAAAACCACTGGAAGGTTGTGAAGGGAAAAAGCTGGACACTGAAGGGATAACCAGCCACGCCAGGGGAAAACCAAGACATTTCCTACAAATCTGAGCTCTGACTGCTAGACTGGTTCATGATCAGGACAAGGGGGTGAGTCACCCTCTACAATGCTGCATATACAAGCATAAATGCCTGAAAAACTCTCCCATGACTCAACCATCCAGTTTTCTTCCCTAAGGAGATTGTAATCACTTGCCAGGACACATTTATGGTAATGGCAAGTCGCTTCACGCAGTGAGGAACTTTACTTGCAACTGTTGTCTACAACTCTGCTGATGCATTAAAAAGGCAGATGATGTTTTTAATAGCTGTTATTAAGACATGGCTTGCCTAGACAGATATCAAGACAAACGAAGGCAGAATGTTGTGCAACAAGTAAAATCAGAGACTTAAACTCACCTTGGAAATATAGGACTTGATACCCTCAGCTAGTTTGATGCAAGGCTCTCCAAACAGTTGGGCCAGGTCTTCGGGAATGTCCCGGTCTTTATCCAGGGCGTTAAGCAAGCCAAGGCACCGCAGCTCTTCTGTAACCCCCTGACTCTTAACCTGCCAAAAGGATGAAAATTAGAACCAAATAACAACCCCTTAATCTGCAAAATAAAATGTGGTTTGAATGACACGTCATCCCTAGAAATGATGAGAACAGCGCTTAGGTTTAGGAAGCAAATTGGGAAACAGGGGGCTGAAGGCATGCTCAATGAGGAAACAATCTGCTCAAGGCCGAAGCGTAGGCTGAAGATCAAACCAAGGGCAAGTATCCCTCTTGACCCTTTCCTGGAAAGTAGATGAGGACATCTGCAACGGGGCTTGCTATGGAAAGCCAATGGGCAACAAGTTCAGCTCAAAGACCTTGAGCCAGCTGGAAAGGTATGTCCTACATAACGAGGTGCTTCAAATGACCTTGCACTGAAACCCTTGTTCTTATTTTCACTCTCTTTCTGTCCCTTTTCAGAAACTCGGAGGGTGCTCCAAGAAATATATGTTTCCAGTTAAGGATCTCTGTGCGCAATTTCGAAGCCTTGAGTCACGGTCCGCCAAAGCTCCTAATGACTCTCCAGTTGCCGGCGGAGCGTGGCAGCAGAAGGTGTGTTTCGTTAACTCTCGCCGCGTTACGGTTTTCAAAGGGAGTCGGACAGGTAATGAGGGTCCCCCATGTTGAGCAGGGCTGCCCTCACAGGAAGGGCTCAAGACTGATCTGAGGTCAGTTTTGCTATTTCTTGTGTAACTGCACAAACGAGGGTAGTCCTGGAAGCACTTACGGGACTGAGGCCATGACTTGTACATATGTGTTGATCGACAACCTGTTCGCGGTTTTGTCTCATGGGTAAGCTTGAGCTGGTCCTGGATCCGCACATTAAAATGACTTCAGCGTAAGCAGAAAAGTACATTAAGACGTTTGGTGTACTATATGGTTCAATTTGTAAATATTACTGACTATATATCAGGGGTCAACAATAAAGATGCAAGGGAAATAGTTTTGGGCCAGAGTTTTTTAACTTTTATTTATCTCGTGCATCTGTTTTTGCGAACTTAAACATTTGGTTTTCTGTTATGTATTCATAGTATTTTATAATTCTTTTGATTTGTGACCAAGATGGCAAGGTGGCTAACATTCAGTAGATGGGGTTTTGTCGAGTAGTTTTTAAAGCATCAGAATTAAAAACTAGAAAAAATACCAGTAATGTTTTGCATTGTGTTGGATTCATGTTGCATGTTTGCTTTTTTTGTACAGGAAAAAAATTGTTTAGTGAGCCTAATGTTGCTAAAAAAAACTTAACTCAAAAATTTGAGTTTGGTAAGATATTTTTACCAAGGCTGAATTTATTCGATTAAAAATTTGGTAAAAATGTAAATTTTTGTGAAATTTTATCACAATTTTAAATAACTTAAGATATGCTGCAGGATCCATTTTTTTTAAATCCAACTATCGGCAGCTGTGGTAACTAGAGCAGAGCTGGCAATCCGAATGCCGCAACACTACTGACTCCATGATTGGTAGATCGGTGGAGAGTGGAGCATCAGAACAAAACAAAACACAACTTGACAACATCAACATCAATATCCTGGCTGGACTACTGTTGTCAGTGATATAAGATTTGAAATGAACATGATTTCTTAATGTCTAGTGACATATCAGGGCCATTTTATGATTACTTGAAATACATATCTTACATACAGCTACTTTAAAATGTTTACCCCTGTGATAGCGAAGCCGAATTTTCAGCAGCCATTACTCCATTATCATCTTCATGATCCTTCAGAAATCATTTGCTGCTTTGAAGTTCAAGCTTTGATGCTTAAGCCCAAAATATATTTCTGCGTCGAATTCACGTGTCTAGACCTTTCCTTAACGTGCACCTCTCAAAACATGTAACAATGCGTCAATTCTACGCAGACCGCAAGCACTGTGATTGGTCTGTTCGAAACCCATCCCACTTCCTCTGCATGTGTAATTGCCCGTCAACGCAGACAACGACACAAAGTATAAATGAAAAAAGATGTGTAGCCTACTACAGCGTAGAAGCTAAGGCATAGGTCCGACGAACAAGTATAAATTACCCTTTATTATCACAGCTAAAAACAAAGTCTTTTTTTTTTTCAGGGTCCTTTGATGAATATAACGTCCAAAAAGAACAGCATTTGTTCGAAATATATATTTTTAAAACATTGTAAAAAAGTCTTTACTGTTAATTTAAAGAAAATCTATTCAATACATCAGTCTTGCTGAATAAAAGCATTAATTTCTTTAAACATCTTTCTAACCCCAAACTTTTGAACGGTAGTTCAAACAAGTTTTGCAAAAAATAAAAGAGGATCATTCATTTATGGTGAGACCAGCAGAAAAAAAAAATCAAATAAGTGAGCCCTATATGTTAAAATTAATAAATGCTGTAAAAGTACTGTTCATTTGTAGTTCATGATTCTCAGTTTTAACAAATATTGAGCCTTACTGTTAAAGTGTTCTAATTAGGGTTCACTTTGTACTCTAAAGCAATATTTACCACCTGAGCTATTGCCATCTGATCTACTTTTACCTGGAAAACAGAAACGGTTTTTTATAACGAAACCCAGTTTATCTGATGTGTCATAACTTGCTTGCGTGTACATGTTCAAAGCATTAATAACTGTAAACAACTTCTCGTCTTGGAAGTTTCTTCTTCCTGCTACTTCTCTCAAAGAAATGGGTCAGTTACAAATGACCTGGAATCTGAAGTACTTGCCAGGGTGTGGATTAGTGTGAGCCAGCAATTCATCATTTATCATTGTGAGTTACACCAAATAGATATAACAACTCTGGGTCAATGCTGCTACACCCTGATAGATGTAAACTCCATCAGTATTGCTATACGTAATCGTTCACAGATGGACCTACTCACAAAAACCATGCAGCTCAATACACGGTAAAATTGGTTGGTATTGAGTCATTGGTAGTGAGACTAGTGGCGCTCAGGAGGGTTTCTGATCCCAGTGAGGGCAGCAGGAAGTGGGGAACAATGCTTCAGTGTTAGCCCTGGTTTCTGTAGCTGGGGAAAAGAAGCCACCACTGAACTTTCTGCTTCACTCCACATCCATTGCTTTTTTGGGAAAGGATTAAAAAAAGAAACCAGGCGTGTAACTTAAATCCATGCCAGGGGCTCTCTGTCTCTGCATCTCACTATAACGTCTAACCCTTCCTCTCGCTTCTCCCTTTTTCGTCTATCCCTGATCCATGTGTATGTTTTTTCTAGTTCTCCCCTGCGGTCTCAAAGAAAGGAACGCAGCCAGAAAGTTGGTAGTGATCTAAATGATCTGCGAGGCTGAAACTCTGCAACTTCGGATGAATTCCCCGAGGACAACAGGTTTGTCTAAGCAGCTCTTCAAAGGAAACTTCAGCCAAATATTCAATTTGTGCGTTTGGCAAAGAACAAACTCCGAGGAGATTGTTCTCTTTCTCTAGAAGACCACACAGAAGTCAAAACCTGTCTAGTCAATAGAAAGCAATGCTGTGGCTTTGGGTCGACTAGTCTCTGAAAGCAACAAATCATGTCACGGTCAGAACGGGAAGCCCCATTTTGATAAAAGTTTAAGTTTTATTTAGACTCACACAATGAAAAGTATCCAAACGAGTTCCGTAGGTGCTTTCCTCTTAATGACGGGTTTCTCTAAAATTAGCGCATGTGACACAAACAATGAGTTAAAGTCAGTGATAGAGGGCATTCTCAGCATGCCATCGGCTCTCTACTAGCACACACCTGTACATACAAACATTCAACTTTACAATGACCCGTGCCATTGTGTGTGGCAAAAGCCCCAGTTGCCAAGGGCAACTATTCTTTTTTCTCATAATCACCTTTGTCTTGGCTCCTCTCATTGGCCCATAAATCTTTGGTAAATGGCCAATGAAGACAGGCCTTATTAAGAGTCCATTGTGATACGTTTTTAAAGCCCTCTGGGTGTTCTATGAAGTCTCGGGCCATCGCTGTCCCGTTCTGCTCTGTCTGACTGAATGTTTCACTTCTAGAATACTAACTACGTGCCTGTCAGTGGACCTTTTCCCGAACCAAATGGGGCCCCAGACGTTTCGTCCTGCTAGAATATCTAAGCGCTTCTGAGAAGCAGGATTTGTTTGTTTTTTTCTCTGCACGTAATTAATACAGAAATTAAACATGACAGAAACAGATTGGAGTAATTATGAACTTAGTTTAACTCAAGTTACTGGACTGAATACGTTTTAGCTTCCTTTTTGGGGCTAATCACACCAGAAAAGACCGTTACATTTGATTATTGTCAAATAAAGACATAAATTGCCCCTAAAAGTCTTTGGAACATTCAGTCCGCAGAGTTTTCATTACTCTGCTAATGGCGCTAAATGAGGGAGTAGCATTGTTTATTAGCCGTCCTGTTGGTGTAAACCGGGGCTTTGTTTGTCCTTGCAGGCTCTGATAATGGGGCAAAATGGAGGTGTTTACTCGTCTTTTAGGACAACACTGTGAGCATCCCATCTGGCTAGTGCACCAAGATGAGCACAGGATATTTATGTTAGTGCTAAAGAATGTTCATTAGGCAACAGCTGTGTGTGTGTGTGAGAGAGAGAGTGCATATGTGTCTTTATTTTCAGCACTCAATAGCTCGGGTCTTTTTTCTTTTCTTTTCAGCTTGTCATTGTGTTGAATTGATGACCGTCAATATGGGGGGAAAAAACCTTTAATCCTTCACTAACACCAAGTTGATGTTTAATCCTTGAAAATATTTTCCTAAGGCTTTTTGTTCATATACGACTGAAACTTCATCATAACGCGGGGCCCATGAAATAGGCCGGTAGATATATCAAACCCTTGCTCAGATTTATTAGAAAAGCCGGCGACTTGTGCGTTACGCAAGATTTATACTGAGAAGTGAATCATTGCTTGGCCTAGTTTAATTTACTTAGCAAAGATGAAAAATAAAAAGCTACTCTGTGCTACCTAATGAATTTAGATGCAGGATGAAATGTATACATTTATCAAATTTATAGCTCAAAGTTGATTTATATCGGTGACATATAAATACATAGCTTTCACCACAGTTTTGTATTTAAGGCTGAACCAGAGTGTGTAAGACTGGAAACTATCCATGCCTTCTTCGGGCCTGGCAAACATAACGTAACTTGAATCCGCAAAGAATTATCAGAGAAAAGCAGCCACAATTAGATGTAATTATATGTTCTACATAAAAAGCATGCTATTACAGTGAGTACGAAAGGGAAAGACAGAGGAAAATTGAAAAAGAATAAAGACCAAACGTGAAGGAGAGGGGGAACAAGAGGGTGAGAGAGTGAGATGTTGTGGATCTTGGCAGTGGAAAATGTCACAGGAGGTTTACCATGGGGAGCCTGAGAGGAGACAAACATTTGCTTGCAGGCAGGGTATTGCTTTCCAATGAATTTCTGTTGTTGTTGCTGAGGGGCCAGTCTAGAACTACATGTAGGCCTATCGTGTCGGTTGAGGGAGAAGGAGATTGAGGCTGGAAGAAACTGAAGGCACCAGACAGTACTATGCCCCGGCACTACCTTCCAGCTCAGTCCCACACCTAATCTAAGCTGATTGTGTCAATCGTAGTTATTTATAAATAGGCCACCCGGAACTCTGTGCAATTTTAACGGTGATGACTTGCGTGGGAGCTTCTGCCTCTATATCCTCTCTGTTGTGTTTACCATCTCGCAGTGTGACCGTGAATTAACCTCACTTTCTTTTTCCTCGCAGAGGTAGAGTGTTTATTTGAAACAATCAGTCTTATCTCACCGAGCGCTATCGTTTTACCGGCTTTGCTGATCGGAAGGTAGTTTTATAGCCTAGGTAACTACAGATTTTTTTTGGTCATATTTGACTTTGAAATAACCCTATTATGGGTTCAAAGTTTATTAATATTCAACAGGGCTTACAGATTCCTAGCTAAGCCTGGGTTTTGGGTCTGAGTATTACTAAACGCAACACAAAACGGCAGAGCATGAGAGATATGCACTACATATTGTTGAGTACACTTGTCAAAATGACACTTATTCAATAATCTCAACAATGTGATTCTGATTCATAGAATGGTTGGACTTTATTTTACAGTGCGTGTACTTACCCATGAAAATACTGGGTAATGTAGGGTAACAACATGGGTTAAGTTTTAGGTTCAGGTTAGTACCTAGTGTGTCAGTTTAAGTATGTTCATGCGAAGCAGGATGGTAAAATTAAGTGTAACCCATAGAATTTTGTGTGTATGTCCTTAACACTATCTATTTATTGTGCTGACAGCCAGGCTAGGCGGTAAAGCATGGAAACTATTGCATGGAAACACAATACAATGTTGCAAAACAAGTACACAACTTCCTTGTCTCAGTATTTTGATTGGCTAATCATGTCTTTGTTGTTAATGTGCAGTTTTGAATATTGAACACTTTTAATAATCTGACAAGTCAAACATTTTGATTTTTGATTTATTTTTATGATGATGATAATACGTAATAATAATAATTGTTTTATTTGTATGTTTTTATTACCCAAAAGCACACATTAAATGTCATCTGAAATCAGTTTGATATGAATTATGGTGTTGATTATTTGTGAATTCAAAGCCTGAAATGATCAAATTAAATTATCAATTTTCCGATCACAATTTACTGCTTTGCTTCCTTTGACTAGTTAATGCCTTTTTTCATTATTTGTGTATCTTGGAATATCCACTGACACATTACTGATCTGCAACTTAGTAAAAGTTCTCTTCTGTAAAAGTCTTTGTGAGCTGCCTACCTCCTTGACAGCATTTTGGCTAGTAATGGGCACTAACACGAGTAAACATGCTGTCTAGTCAGTGCACTAGTAGGTTCGCCTCGCGAACGCGCCTGTGATGCCCAAAAAAAAAAACTCGCAAAGTTTTAAGACACGGCCTGTTCATCTGGTATATCGACAAAAAAAATAATCATTGCAACCCCATAACACCGCTTACCTGCGATAAAGACATGTTTAAGTAGACAAAGAGTCCTGTGGTCGAGGCTATTTGCAGCACGACCACCACGATCACGACCATTGCGATCCATAACTTTGACGGCGAGTCTCGACCACGGCTGTTCGCCGGAACCATCATGTATGTGGTGGACTCGCTGCTGACCGACCTGAAGTAATCCTGGTTATTCTGAGTAGCCATGGCATTCCTAAGACGTGAGTAGATACGAAGTTAGTGACAAACAAATAGAAAGCAGCAGCGGGACGTTGAATAAACTCCTTATTGTTGGCGCTGAGCGGCCGTGGGAGTGTATAGAGTCTGTCCCACACACTCTCATGCAGTCAGTCACTCACTAATGTTGCAGGAGTAGTGTGTGAGTGTGTGTATGTGAGACGCTAAGGGGTTGAGCCTCGAGTATCTGGAGATACATTACCGCAATTCCTCATGAGTTCCTTAACCCTTTTCCTCACAAGATATCCTGCAATATGAATAAATACATATTCGGAAGATATCGTTAATAAATCAATGTTTTATTTTGTATATTACTTCAAATTGTTAGTGTCCTCCATGACTTTTCAAGTTGTTTATGATTTACTGGATAAGGATTAAATAATAAATGAATGTTTTAAATTAAATAAATGTTTTTATCCCGATAAAATATTTAAGAGTGTTGCATAATGAAATGCATAAGATTGTTATAAGATTGTTATACGATTGCATGAGATTTCCTGCACTGTAAATCACACATAATGTGGGTGGCCAAGTTCAAGGTCAAAGGAATCCAGGTCCTTCAAAGAAAAAATAATTAAATGTGAATTAAATAAGTGTCTTGTTTGTAGTTGTTTTAGATTATTTTATGCTTGTTTTGTCCTTTACTTTAAATAATTTAAAATAATCTTTGGCCCCTTTGGAAGTTTTCTGGGGCCCCCTAGTGGACCCTGGGTTGAGAACCACTGGTTTAAACCAGCTGGTTTAGCAAGTTTTAGATGACCAGTTAAAGTGTCCAAAACCCCTCTAAAACAGCCAAAAGACCAGTTTGACCAGGTTTAGGGACCAGTTAAAACCAGGAAAACATAAGGCTGATTTAAGATTTTGTTTTGCAGAAAGGTATGTGGAAGCTTTATATTTGATTTTTATTTATAGTCCTTTAAAAAAAAAGTTAAAGATACACCTGGGGTCAGATCCACGAAATCTTAAGAAATTATGTAATGTCTTATGAATTTGTAAGAATGTTACAAATTCTTTGCAATTCTTCGAAAATTCTTTAAAAGTTTTTAGATATTTTCTTAAAAACATATTGTTTTCCTTAAAGGCATAGTTCTCCCAAAAATGAAAAAATCTTTCATCATTTACGCACCCTCAAGTTGTTTCAACCTGTACTGTTCTTTCTTCAGCTGAGCACAAAGGAATATGAAGAACGATTGGAACCAAACAGTTGTGGGACACCATTGACTTCCATAGTAGAAAAAAAATACTATGGAAGTCACTGGTGTCCCATAACTGCTTGGTTCCAATCGTTCTTCAAAATATCTTTGAGCTCAGCAGAAGAAAGAAGCTGCAGGTTTGCAACAAATTGAGGGTGCGTAAATTATGATAGAAGTTTCATTTTTGGGTGAACTATCCCTTTAAGATCTTTGGTGTTGTATGGTGATTCTTGCAAAAACTCACTTAAAACATGCAATCATGTAAGTTATTGGATAATAATGAAAACACTAAATTGAATTTTATGGAGGGTTTTTGGGATGTTTGTGTGACTGAGAAGGTCAAGATAATAAATGCAGAGGATCTGGTTTGATGGCTCTTACTTACTTCACAGAGCCTTATTTGTGTAAAGGTCAAATAATTATTAAGGCAGAAAGATGACCTAAAATTATGTACATCTGACTAAAACAACTGAAGATGAAAGGCTATGAGTACGTCAAATAAATTAAGTTTATCACTTGTACTCTTCACCTGTCTTGAAAAGTCCAGTCGTCTTGAGATAAACGGTCCACAGTAAAACTGAAGGGATATGAAACTTCATGCCTCTCTGCACACTGTAAATATATTTGCAGTCTTTCTGTCTTTTTCAGCCATAAACAGCAGGAGTTGAACATCGTGTGTGAGCCGTTGCATGTTTGTCTGTACTAGTGGAGATGGAAGACAGATGTCTCGGCCATCCGGTTCTTCAAATCAGCTGGAGAAACCAACCAGACCAATGCTCGCTCCTCAACCATGGATCCTCGCTGGTCTCTACGATGGAAGTGCACTAAAACGGGTGAACATATGAGATAACAACTCATGGTCTGATACTGATTTGTCTATCAAATAATCAACAGGGAGAACAGCTATATGAAATCACAGTATGACAATGTTTTGTATTACAACGGTTTCTGAAATGTTAAGTATGCAAATGTGGAAGTACTGTATCTAATTAATTACCAATTTACCTTCCCGGAAAATAAATCTCAACATTGGATAAGACAGTTTCAAAACTTGTTTAATTTTTAAAAAATATTAAAGTCAGATTTTTTTTTTAATTTAGAAAATAAATACAGAAAAATATTTGTGCCATATTTTTAAGAATAAAATATTATATCAATTAGGGGAAGGATATATGAACATGGTTCCCATGTTTAAAATCCTCATAATATAGATAAATAGTAATAAAACTAAAGTTTGGTGTATATGTGCTACTTAACTGAAGATTTTCTCGCTCAGCATGAGAATAAATACTAATTTTAAGAAAACAGCCTTTCTAATTGAAATTTACATTGGTAAATAGATAAGGAATAATAAAATAAAAGACTCGCAAAAGTTTTTTTTTTTTTTTTTGCCCAATGTGGTCTAGTGTTGTTTTCAACCCCCTTAAAGGAGTAGTTCACTTTTTAAAAAAAAAAAAACTTTTGCTGATAATTTACTCACCCCTATGTCATCCAAGATATCCATGTCTTTCTTTCTTCAGTCGAAAAGAAATTAAGGTTTTTGATTAAAACATTCCAGGATTTTTCTCCATAAAATGCACTTTATACTGGGCACCAAACGGTTCAAGGTCCAAAAGACAGTTTCAGTGCAAACTACAAACTGTTGAAAGGGCTTTAAATGATTCCAGACGATGAATAAGGGTCTTATCAGGCAAAGCGGTCGGTCATTTAAAAAAAAAAAAAAAAAAAAAGTTTAAAAATAAAGTTTAAGTTGTATAAGCTCAAATGCTCACCTTGCTCTGTTCTGTGTGACTCTCCTGATCGAACTCGTTCGTCAAAATGAACGAATATTTTTCTGAGTCAATTCGTTCATTGAATAAACCAAACAACTCGAAAAAAGATTTGTTCATTTTGATGAACGAGTTCGAACAGGAGAGTCACGAACGCGCATCACACAACAGAGCAAGGCGACCATTTTAGCTTTTAAAACTTAACTTTTTTATATACTTTGTTAGTTTGCAGTTTGCACTGAAACTGTCTTTTGGACCTTGAACCGTTTGGTTAACAGTAAAGTGCATTATATGGAGAAAAATCCTGGAATGTTTTCATCAAAAACTTTAATTTCTTTTCGATTGAAGAAAGATATGACATGAGGGTGAGTAAATTATCAGCAAAAGTTTTTTAAAAGTGAACTACTCCTTTAAATTTCATTGTATGGACACTTTTGAGACAATTTTCAAAAGACCTTTGTGTGTGTGTTTGCAGAAAGAAAGTCAAACAGGTTTGAAACGACATCAATTATGTTTTTGAGTGAACTTTCCCTTTAATATAGTGCGACACACATTGGATCACATTACAGACCTCATATCAAAGAGAACATGTCGTGTTTTACACACATTGACCTTATCTTCACGATGGATAGGGGCTACAAAGAGCCCGAACCTGAAAACTCCATAACCTTAAACACACATCCCAATTCTCCAGAGCAAACATGCTGAACGTATTGTACTCATTTTAACTTAATTTATTTAATCTTTTATACATTTTCCTTTCTCCGCTGGCTACTTTATGGCTCGTTTGATCACATGAATACAAAGGATTGCTGGCCATCCCTGTTGAAGTCGCGGCAATGCAGTGCTTTGCTAAGCATGAGTGATACGAAAAGAAAATATATGAGTACATTAAGTCTATGAGGCCTGTTTAATGTAAGGAATTCCTTCACATGTGTCTGGCTCTTATATTGTAGAGAATAAATCGATGCGTCATAGTTTGGGGGAAGGGTGGGTGGGGGATGTTGGGAGATTTTCCAGAGCCCCCATGATCCATTTGGCTCTATGTGTCAGCTCTGTTGCAATCACTTCTTCCCCACTCCCCTTTCCTTATGCACGTTTTTTCGACGTCTCTCATTTTTGGCAGCGATGGTTCAGACATTGGAACAAACGCTTCTCCAGATGCGTCTAACGGGGCTGGACTGAAAGCCATTGTGTCTTCACTGACACTGCAGCTGTGAAGTCAGCCCCCCTTGTGTACGAGAATGTGTGTGCGGGAGAGAGAGAAAGTGAAAGAGAGCATGTCTGGGAGGGGAGACTGATAGAGCGAGACATAGGGTCAAAGAATGAGTAGGCCGATGTGTGAGTTTGTGTGTGTCCCTGATTTTTCAATCTGTGGTCGCCAAGAGTGGGAGTGAGTGAGATGCAGGTTTTCGCTAAAGCGCATTCCTGCCATGTTAGGTATCACTGCTTTGGGAGTATTAATGGGATGCAATAAAAAAGTCCTGCTTTTTACACACCCCGCAAAGCCCTGCGCACCCCTTTACAGCAATCCGCTCCAACAATACAGCATTCACTGTTTATCATTATTCAGACACACTTTATTATTGGTACTGACGTGTTGTTGAAAAATATTATACAGAATCTTTGGTCAAGAATGTGTCAGTGTGTTTTGGACGATGGTAACTTAACTTCTAAAGCTGATTTGCGGTCAGATTTCCGCTTACCTAATATCGGCTTGGATTGGGAGAGCAGATATCAGTTTAAACAGACAGCGTGTGTACAGCTGTTTTGTCTTTAATGGCTCATTTTCAATGGTTGAGAATGAAACTGATTATGATTGTTTATAATTTATGACTCTGTCTTCTTGTATTAATGTTTGGGATGTGAAAGATTGTGGATGAAGATTAATGTGTGCTGTTTTCTGTCTTCATATCAGGGGGTGTCGTACGGATCAATGACCTGTTCTGTAAGGGCGAAGCTGGTCCCAGGTCAGTTTAAATGTGAATTGTCGATCAGGTGCTGCAGATGCTCCAGGAGAGAATCGGAGCTCTTATAGCGTCCTCTGCTGGTCGCTCGCTGCATGTCACAAAACTCTTCGAGAGAAGCCATTAAAGCGCCCACTGTCCAGCCATTCAGACGGGCGCTGTGAGAGAGCCTGCAAAGCTAAGGGAACATGTTAGTCAAATAAAAAGCAATACAAATGTTTTATAATGAAAATGATAGACTTTAGTGTGAGCATTTGTAATTAAACTGATTGGCTCTTTCAAAGCGAGTATGATAGTTCAATGATACCATCAAATAATTATAGTGCTTATAATTTGTAAAGATTCAATTCATATCTCTATGTAGCTATTGTATTAGATGGAGACTATAGGATTGTTGTAGTTTTTTAATTTTATTTTTTTTATAATAAACCTTTTCAGAAAGAAAAATCTAACTTGAATTGTGATAACATTTCTCATTTAATTCTGGAACCACAATGCAATGCTTTATTAAAATTATTCAATCATTTTGTTATAGGTTAAAATGTCTCTTTTTTAATTAACTTTTTGAATTAAAATGATAGATTAGGGGTTGGTATAAAAAATTATATTTTCAGACTAAGTATAAATACATGTGCAGAGCTAAAATTGATGTCCATAAAATCCAAGCTACTAGATTGTAGTAAAACTGTCAGTTTAACCACATAATAATAATAATAATAATAATAATAATAATAGTAATGAAAGTATTTATAAGACTAAACCTTTCCAGGAATAAAAAATCAATTCTGGTGTTCAAATTCAATTTGCGGTTAAGGTTTCCATATTTACTTCTCTTGAAACAACAATCCAAACAATTTTTAATTGCTAACCCATGTTTTATGTATGTATTCAAAAATTTGTTTTAGGATAAAATATTACCTTCTTAACTTTTTTTAAATTAAAATTAATTGGAAGTTGGAATAATAATGATATCGAACAAGTAGCCTAAAAGTTTGATTCTAGTACACCGTAAAAAATATTGTTGGTTTAACTTAAAAAAAAAGTAAGTAACCTGTTTTTAAGTTTAAGTTTTAAGTAAAATTTTAAGTTGATTGAACTGGAAAAAGTAAGTTAATACAATGAAGGAGATTAATTTAATCATCAGAAACGCAAAATAATAAGTTATCTCAACTAAATAAATTATTTAAGTTGATTTGACAAAAGAAAATATGTTGTGATAACAAATCTTGAAAATATATTTTTTACAGTGTATAAATGCATGTGCAAAAATTAAAAAGACATGATGTCTTCCCCACCTTACATCGAAAATACTGAGTTAAAGCCCGCTCACATCAAATATGATAACAATAACGATTGCTTTAAAGTTTTAATAATGGTTCTAATTCCATGACAGTAGAATGCCGAAGTGATGACATCACTTTGTAGGACAACTTGGGAGCTAGCGGTGCATGGGTTCCCTCGATCGAAAATCTATGCATTTTCCCCATAGACTTTTGGAAAATCGCAAAAAATAAGATCTGTTTTCAACGAAGACCCTTACACATTTTGTCTATGAAGATAATCTTTACAAGTTAATCCAAAATTTATACATTTGATTGCAGGTTATAACTGTGTGTTCTATGTCATAGATCAAAACGTGAAAACATTTAGAGGCTTTGTTCACCATTGACCTTATTTCAGTCCTTATTTAGCAAAAACCCATTCAAAAATCCCATAGGCTTTAGAGCGAGGGAACCGGTAGTGCTAAAATGCTAACTCAATTCCACGTTTTGGCCTACAGAGTGACGTCATAACTTCGGCACTCTATAGGTACACCTGTTATAGTTGGGGTGACGGGCTTCCCTATTCTCATGGAACTTTATAGTTATTGTCCTTGGTTCGAACAGGGCCTTTAGACATTAAAGCAAAAAGTATTACAACCAGCCAAGTCAAATTCAGTCTGCGAAAACTGTAATATTCTGTACCTGTTGCTGAAGGCTTGTGTCTGGTAGATCAAACTGAAGTGCTGAAGTCCCGTTCTGTGAGGCCGCGGCCCAGAGTAGAGCACACTGCAGTTCCTGGACAAGACGACTTTCCTCAGCATGTATCTTAATCACCTGTGGTTTAATGTCTTTCTGGGAGCCAAATTCTGCTCCCTCAGATTGCTTACAGTTAAACAGGAATCTGGAAGCATCACATACAGAATGTTGAATCACGTCTTCTGCGAAGTCGTTGGAAAATCTGTGTACCGATGATGTCACATTGGCGTCAAGTGAAATGGGGTTCAGTTCTGATTTATCATTACAGCATATTTTGGCTTTGAGGGAGTTGATTGAGTCTTTACACAGTGTGTTTGCACATCTTTCTTCTTCCCATGGCTGTGGTTCTGCTGCTTGGCCCGAAAGATGTGGCTCTGTTCCATGTTCAAACACGCCCTGTCTTAGCTTAGCAAAAGCATGAACCAAAGCCTCAATGATTAGCTCATTAGCTAAAATTTTCACCTCGTCAGTTGCAGAGAACTGCATGCTAGATCTTTTGTCTGAAGGCATTGGGTATGATGGTGTTTCTTCCTTCAAAACCTTCCTTTCCCCTCTCGCCATCACCTCTGCTAGAGAAGTTGTGACAATTTCACTCGCTAGTCGATCAAAAATGCGATTCACACAACCCTCATCCTTTACTTTTAGCTCGTTTGTGGTGAGAGAATGAATGATATCTGCTGATATTTGAGCTGCATAGTCATTTTGGAGTCCGCCATCATCTTTGACTTCTTCTCGACCTCCGTTTCGACAACACTCCAGTGAAAGCGAGCGCATCAGCCTCACCATGAAGTCAGCGGACGTGTCAGTCATTTGGTTCTCCAATAAGGGTTGCATGTGGTCTTTGGGGGTCGGAGGAGGGGGTGAAGGAAGAAACTCTTTAGCAAGTCCTCCCTTTAGCTTCCTTGTGAAACTGGCTCGACTCCTCATCATCTCTGGAAGCAAAGGGGTGCTTGGAGGAGCATCAGGGTAGTCGAGAGACCCCAGACTGCACATGCTCTTCAAGGAATTGGCATATACCGTGGTCAGTGTGTCATCATAGTCCTCCATCTTGTCCGTTTCTATTTCAAATGCGTTTTTATCACACTTGTAGCCTGAGGAGCACAGGACCGATGCATTTTCATTAGTCCCCTCCTTAACCCCATTATCATTTATATTTTTGGAAGCATCATCAGAGTGATGTTGCCTCTCCATCTCTTCTAGTGCTTTGCAACAGACTTTTACAGTTAACTCTTCAGCTAGCATCTCAACTTCATCCTGTCTCACCTTGACAGATTCACTTGGGCCTCTGATCCCCATAGATGAATCTAGAATAGCTTTGGCTGTCATGTGCGCGAAGGTTTGAATGGGCTCTATGTTCTGTTCTAATGTTCCATCCAGTAAACGGCTGTATGTTTCCATGGTGTGTTGGATTGATGACGGGTTGTATGCAGGTCGTGGGTATGAATCACTATTGATTACGATCTGCGTAGAGTCCTGAAAAAGGTCATAACAGAAAAACGAAGACTTGACTTTCATTGGATAATGTTGCACTTTATACAGTGAACATACTTATTAACAGCTACTTTTTCCGTATAATGATTGTTAAAAATGTGCAAACCAAATTGATAAGAGAATGAAAAGTCTTATTTATTTAGACTTTTAATATACTTATATTATACTAAATAGGATGCTAACATTTCTGTACTTACATTAGAGTGACCAGATTGTGAGGCGGTGACTAGATCACACAGTTTAAACGAGCTGCAAAGCCACTCTTCGTTAATCATCTGAAAAGGAGATGGAACAAGATATAATGTAACCATATTGGTTATCAGAATAGTTTTTTAATTGATCTGTATGGTTGATAATCATGTTTACATACCTATTTTAGCATTTAAATGAACTTTGTTGTCATCTAATGTGCACTTAAAGTTAATTTCACTGTTAAATGTAATCTTCAGAAAATTATCTCATAATGAAGATCACATTTTCATACTGTACATTAGTTAGAATTTTGTGATGCCTGCTTTTAGATTTGAAGTATTTAAATCACAAAATAATTTATCTTTAGACAAAATATAATATGATTTTATTGATTTCTTATCGGCCATAACAATTATTATCTTATCACTATTAGCCATAATTTTTATATATAATTATAATTAAATATACAATTGCATTTTGCATCCTTAAAACATAATTTCTGAGGCATGAGAAAGTTTACTTTGCACCTCAGGACAACAGGCTAATAGAAATACATTGATATTCTAGTACAGGGTTGCCTAATAATGTAAAACAACCTGCATAATTTTGTTTCAACTCTTTTCTATCCCACCTGCAAATGATATTCAAGTGAACTGGAAGGCCGTGATTTTTTGGAGGTAGAAAAAAAGCATAATTAAGCAATCCTCTTGGTGTAAATAATATACTTCAGTTACTGCTGAGGACAATACAAGCCATAAAATACAATGTGTGGTGGTTTGATTGGCATACGCCTCACCGCCACACATAAACACCTTATTTTTCCACTGATTCGGGCTATCAGTTTTCATATTTTAGCTTGTAAAGTATTTGCACATCCCGAGTGCTGAAAATTTGATAATGGTGAAGTTCGGAATGAAAACAAGCAAAGGAAAATAAATTTAAAATCAAAACAAGATACATGACCAACTAAATTAATCCAAGAACAACTAAAGAAAAACAGGTCTCAAATGAGCAGAAAAAGAAAACCACAAGTGATCACCAGATGAGTTGCTGTTACAGGAACTAAGTCACGTGGCTGACAGGAAAAGATGATGTGTGTTGATAGGTGCTGGAAAAAAAACTTGTTTCCATTTACATTTTCCCGCAGAATTTGATTTAATAATTAAGGCAGTGATACTGGACAAGACATGTAGATCATGGGGCAACCTTTATCCAACGCAATATCTAATGAAGAAGCTTGAGAGGAACATTGGTTAAAGCTTTGATAAACATCAGCTCAGCCTAACACTTTGTGTCAGTGCACACATATTTATTTAATTTGGCAATAAATGCTAAATACACACTCAGCACACTTAAACTGTTAGCTGCACTCAGTTCAAGTTAGAGTACATTTAAATTGAATTGCAAATAAAAGATCTCCTGGGCAGTGCCGTGGAGGACGTAACCTTGAAAAGTCTTTACTATTCAAGATACTTTGGTGTTTTTAATGGAGATCTGATATACCACAGATGATGGAGATTTGGAGGAATAAAATATGTGTGTAATTGTACTGGTCTAAAGAAAAGCAAAGCTATTTTACATCAAATTCCCCATTAAACAAGTGAAAGTTTTAGAGGGTGGGATGCACAGTTACATTTATTTTCATGGTATTGCTAAAAAGATATTGAGAAGTAAATACATATGTAAAAACACTTGGTTGTAGAACAAAGCTGGAGAGAGATTGCTGCTTATACGAATGAAATGCACATTACAAGCAATCAGATGTAACCTTATATATCAAATGTCACGTAACATGGCTTTAAAGTTTATATTGGTTATATTGTGATTTTCATCCCCAAGCTTTATACTTCTAAGATACATTTTAATTTGCACTGTTAAAATTTGATGTTGCTGAAGGAAAATGTGAGAGCACAACAGGAGGACCAACTTTTAAAGTAAAGTAGTAAAACAAAAAAGGAAACATAATTTCAGCCAAAACAAATTGGGAAAATAACTTAATAATAATGATCTATAATTAACTAAATACATCAAATCGCCCCTTCAAACATTTGGGAAAATATATGTTTTCTTTACCTTGTTGAAGGATATCAGTCAAACAAGTTCTGCTTGATAGGCTTGAGAATGTGACAGGGCCACGGGCAGTTTGCACTTTGCAGAATGCTGATTTCCTGTGTGAAAGACATTTATTGTGTCTGTGTGGGTGGGTGAATGGGTGTGGCTTCATTGTAAAGTCAATAAAATCAGTAATATACAAAATAAGCGAAGCGAATTACTAAACATTATTTAAACATTTTACATAATAAATAGAAGCTCTGTTGGTATCATTACCAAACACATTCTCTCCCACATCCACTGTCCACTTACTCAAAACAAGTCTCAGAACGCGAGCTCGCTTCCTATTGGTTGCTAAGGTGTTTTTGAAAATTCGATTGTCCCGCCCCTTAACAACGGCATCCTAGCTCGACCCTTATTGGCCTAGAGCGAAGTGCATTCGGCCAATCGCATCACTGCGTGTAGTTTTGGACGCATGCAGACTGCAGTCCGGTGTGTCTGTTTCAGCCTGTAAAGCTTTCTATTGTACTTTTCGTGAATGTTTGCACATATTGTCTTTGAAAATATTTCCCTGCTTTAATTGAGGTTGTTCAGCGTATCGTGAAAAGGTAAGAATTGCAATTACTCGCAAAAATACACGACACATTGCCCGCTTGTTGTTGTTCTGTAACGACCGACTTGCTTCCTGCGATCAAAACAATTTCTTTACGAATCTTTGTTTGAATGTTTAGTAACCTTGTGGAGTACAACGAGAAGAGAGAGACTGTATGTATATGTGTCTGATGGAAGTGTGCACTAAGCACATAAGTTCACTAAGTTGCATAAAGTTATATTATTTGTTTACCTCGCATTTGAAACAGGATATAACTGAAAGATCAGAACAACTGAATAAGATGCCGTTTTCCAGAGGAAAGAAGCCCACCACCAGTAAAATCCCCAAACTTCACCCCAAAGGACTGGAGAACCAGGTATACAATGAGATCAGATCTGAAAATGAATGAGATATTTGCTTGTTGTTGACCTGATCCATCTTGTGTTGATGTGTTTAAGCAGGATGGCCCCCAGACCAAGCGCTCATCTTCTCCTCCCCAAGGGGCCCCTAAGAAAAGAACTGCTTTTGTGGACATTACCAATGTAAGGATGCCAAATCAAATTTGTGTTCATATATATTTTGTATACATTCACCACAGCTTTATTGCTTTCATATGTTACCCGACTAGGCTGTCTCTCAGTGTTTTTTGGCGCCTCGGTTTGATTCTGATGATGTCAAACCAGTAAGTTAAGTGTTGAGCTGCTTGTAACCCCACTAACACCAGCAGTTTAAATGAATGATGCAAATCAGCATGCCTGATAGTCATAACCTCATTGAAATCCTATTCATGCCCGAGCAGTAATTTACAGTGCACACAAAAGCAGGAGATCTCAACTTTTAATAGCTCTGATGGGCACTCCTTTAGTGGTTCTGGGTTTCCAAGTGAGGTGCTCTCGGATGCAAATTATAATGATGGCTCTATTCACTGTTGTCTAACACCTTGTATTCATTCTCTCCGTGTCTCAGATTCAAACAAGTTGATTGATTTGGTGACTTATGCTTATTTTAACAAATTAAACCTGAAGTACAGTTTTGGCTGACATTCAGGCTGAATTTTAAATTCAAGACAAATGTGCTCTTAAAAATCAAATGCACTTTCATTAAAGGCACACAAGATTGAGCTAAGCAATCCCATCAAAAAGAAGGATCCTGTTAAGAAGCTGCAGAAGAAGATCTCAGTACTTTCTAAGAATGATGTCAATTTAAAGTAAGTCATATTTTTATTACATCTTTGTCTTTTAACCTACCATATATGGAGAGTGCTTTGAGATGATTGTACCAGAATTTGCAGATTTCTTATTTTTCCTTTTGTCAGATCTGTGGTTAGTTCAGAGGAAAAGTTGGAGGAACTGAAGGATGTGGAGTCATTTGAGAAACTGGAAGAGCCCTCTCCTAAACCATCAATTCCTCCACACCTCCTGCCTCCAGAGGTAAGGCCCTGGGGCCGTTTGCATTGCACCATTCAAATTAGTTGAAGCCTAACTCTATGTATAAAATAAATATTTACAGAGGCCTCTGATCAGGAGTAACGTTAGGAATAAAATACCCGACAGACTTAAATTCTTTAGACATATGAAAATGCTGACATTTACACTCGCTTACATTTAAGAGAGAGTAGATCACTTTGTTAGCGCCTCATCAACACGAACCCGTCCTACAGCGCACCGCTGAGTGCATCTGTCCCATCGCTCTGTGTTGTGCATGTCAAACAAAATCATAATCAATAAATGTAATTTATTATTTTTTTTGTATCATCACTTGTTTATTCTTATTAATTTTGTTTCAAATACAGTTTTTGAGTGTTATTTGCATTTTAAAAACACTCTTATAAAAGTGTCTTATAAAATGGAAACATATTTTTATTGTTAGATAAGTGAAGCAAAATAAGTTAAAATGAAGGATAACCTGAAATCCCAGCAGTATTAACAGCTTCTGCAAACGTACTTGAAGGCTGCTATTGGATCATTGAGAGTAAACATTTTATTTGCAACTACGCATTACTTTACAGAGAGCTTACAACCTACTCTACCTTCTGCCTTAAGAACAAATGGTGCAATGGAATAACATACAGAGTGACAAACTACCTAGTAGGTACTAAGACTCTAGTGTGGGCTTTACGTTCCATTTTAAGAAAGAACTTACGAACGGCTGGTGCAACCCTACCCTGGTTTGGTGCATTGGTGTGATGACAGAATTAGCATGAATTAGTTGATAGCTGGGACATATTATGTTCTTTAATATTTTAGGGGTTGACAAACCTTTGGCTGTTTTTTCCCCCCCTTGTTTACAGATTTAAAAACACCATCATTGTATCTGTTGTCTTTCAGGTTCCTCCAGAGTTTGACATTGATTCCGAGCAACTTAGTGACTCCACGCACACAGCAGAGTATGCCAAAGATATTTTTGACTACCTTAAGAGCAGAGAGGTTGGTTTAGTAGTGTTTATTAATGATTTTACAAGTAGAGGAACAGGAAATTGCAAGCTAAAACTTCTTATTTCTTTTATTTGCAGGAAAAGTTTGTCTTGCATGATTACATGGCTGATCAACCAACTCTAAACACCAATATGAGAGCCATTCTGGTGGACTGGCTGGTTGAGGTCCAGGTAACTGTTGATGTTTAATAGCTTCCAGTTCCAGGCATCGTTTCAAATGTGATAAGTCTGGTAGAATGTTGTTGGCTTTTGGTGGTTTAAGCACTGATGTGACTTTATTTCTGCTCTTTATTCTGCAGGAGAATTTTGAGCTGAATCATGAGACTCTTTACCTGGCTGTGAAAGTGACGGATCATTATCTGGCCGTGAGCCCGGTCAAGCGGGAGTCTTTACAGCTCATTGGTTCCACTGCCATGCTCATTGCTTCTAAATTTGAGGTAAGACATATGCTCTCTCATGATAGCTGAAAGTCATTCGTTTAGACTCTGGGATTTTGGACTTAGCTGTAATTACTGAAGGAGTTAGTCATTCTCCCATTATCTCACACGCACACTTACAGAACCTCATAGAAATGTTGTTAATCATTACAGTGTATATATATATATTAATATATCATTCAAAAGGTCAATGACTCAATCTTATCTTATAATAATTAAAGGGATAGGTCACCGAAAAATGAAAATTCTGACATTAATTACTTGCCCTCATGTCGTTCCAAACCCATAAGACTTCATCTTCGGAACACAAATTAATCTTTTTTATTATATATATATATATATATATATATATATATATATATATATTTAGACCACATAGCTTGTAAAGAGACTTTCAACCAGCATAACAAAGAATGTTTCTGGAACAAATTGCCTACCCTGCCTTTGATTTCTAAAATGTATATATTTTGTCCAAAATATTTTATCTGCTCTTTTACTCTGTCATGCAGATTTTTTGGATAGATATGGAATATATTTGTAATGACACCTGTTGTATATTATTCTGTGTAAACTGCTTAAAAAAAAAAAAGAAAGAAAGCATGTGAAACAGTACACAAAATACTTTAAACCACTGGCTTGGCATTAAGCCTAGTCAAGTGCTTGTCCTTTGGACAATCAAAATTAAATAATTTACACATTTAAAAATACAACTGCATTAAATAAGGTTATAAGATTTTTTTAAATATTTTTGGGAATATACAAATAAGAAAGTCGGGGAAAAAAAGATTGTTTTAAACATGAAGCTAAACCATCAACGGGGGCAGCAAGTGACCGTCTAAATGAGTGAGTCAGTGAATCATTCATTAAAATGATTTGTTCAAACGGCTGATTCATTCAAGAATGAAGCAGTAGTTTATGAATGGGACATTGAATCTTTGAGTCAGCTGATTTGTTCAAAACGCTGAATCATTCAGTAAAGAAACATGCGTCTTTAGACATTAATATTAACTATTTGTTATTGAACCGTTGTATGAAATCAGTGTCACATTTTCAATCGTGATGATTCATGATCCAGGAAAACAGCACTCTTGGTCATGTGATATTGCTTTAATGTGTCATATGTTATCAATCTCCACTGAAGGATTATAACGATAAAGATATAGTTCTAAAAATATTTCTCCATCTTAAAGAATTGTAGATTTTAGATCACAACTATAATTGATAAACTATAAAACTATAAATAATAACTATAAAAGTTACAAGGAACAATATCGTTGGGATCACTTTCAGAACTATTTTTTTCAGCTGTTGAACTATAAAACACTGACAGCCAATCAGAATCCACACAAATTTAAATGGCTCGCACATTGTGAAGAAGTTAATCGACGAGGTACAGAAAAATCCACCACTCTCTGAAATCCAAGTCAAGATGATCTGCACTGTGTGCTGTATTTTTGCATACTGTGCACAAAATTCATACTGCATGCTGCAAAAAATTGTGATTTGCCAGTTGTTACCCATCCTGTCTCTGGTGTGTCCTTACAGGAGCGGGCTCCTCCTTGCGTGGATGATTTCCTGTATATTTGTGACGATGCTTACAAGCGCTCCCAGCTCATCGCCATGGAGATCAGCATCCTGCAGGCGCTGAACTTTGACATCAATATTCCGGTTCCATACCGCTTCCTCCGTCGTTATGCCAAGGTGAGAGACAACACATACATATCCCCTCAGTGAAAAGACAGG